CTCCTGCCTCATCCTCCTGAGTAGCTGGGATTACAGGCACGCACCACCATGCCCAGCTAATTTTTTGTATTTTTAGTAGAGACGGGGTTTCACCACGTTGACCAGGATGGTCTCGATCTCTTGACCTCGTGATCCACCCGCCTCGGCCTCCCAAAGTGCTGGGATTACAGGCTTGAGCCACCGCGCCCGGCCTCTCTGGCTTCTTTCAAGATTTTCTCTTTGTTTTTAATTTTCAGAAATGTGATTACAATGTGTCTGGACTTAGATCTTGTTGGAAACGCCTGCTTGGGGTTCCCTGGAAACTGGAGATGATGAAGACAAGGTTTCTTAGAAAGAAGCAAAGTATTACATCATCAAAATGTATAAGTTTCAACTGTTGCAGTTAAATATGTTCTTATAGTATTGGATGACAAGTTAGAATGCCCTTGGGAGAATACACAAAATATAGTATTTTAGTCATTGTGAATATTGTGTATTTTCAATAAGGGACTCTTCTAAGGTATTCATAACATAAATATACTATTACTAGTATATTTAAGAATATTGCCCAGCATACTAGCATGCGCCTGTAGTCTCAGCTACTAGGGAGACTAAAGTGGAGGATCTTTGGAGTCTGAGAGTTCCAGCCCAGGTGACAAGAAGACCTCATCTCTAAAAACAATTACAATTAAAATAATAATAATAATAGTACATACCCCTAAACCATATAGAGAGGCAAGTCTTCATAGAGATGTTCAGAAAGTTGTTCAGGAATGGCTTTAGTCCTTGCTTCACCATTACAGGTTTTCTCTTTTTTCTTTTCTTCTTCTTCTTCTTTTCTTTTTTTTTTTTTTTTTTAAACCGAGTTTTGTTTTTGTTGCCTAGGCTGGAGTGCAATGGTGTGATTTTGGCTCACTGCATCCTCCGCCTCCCAGATACAATCAATTCTCCTGTCTCAGCCTCCCAAGTAGCCCAGATTACTGGCATGCACCACCACACCCGGCTAATTTTTTTGTGTTTAGTAGAGATGGAGTTTCACTATGGTCGTCAGGCTGGTCATGAACTCTTGACCTCAGGTGATCCATCTGCTTCGGCCTCCCATAGTGCTGGGATTACAGGCATATGCCACTGTGCCTGGCCTACAGTTTTTCCAGATTAATTTATTTACAAATGAAGCATAACTGACCAGTGTCCTATGCTATCCAAGGTAAGTTTTTCCATCTATATTTAATATTGTGGCCATTTTTTTCTACTTAAATGAAATGTTTCATGGAGTAGTGTCTGTTTGAGGTTTTATGTGGTGCTATCAAGTAGCCACTCTGGTTGTGTCAGTTTTTATCTTCATGGATCTTACAACTTGGTGGTCATATGGTTCTTTTGAAATTTGACAGGCCAAATTTGGTGTATTTGTCATGGAATCTTTGAATTTCTTGATGAATTTATTTTATAGTTTTATATGAGTCCTTTGCGTAAGGATGTTTAGTCAAAGCATCCTATTTATAGTAATGAACTTTAAGGGATTTCTATGGTATCTACAATATTGTTTCTACCTTTATGATAGCAGTTATATTAGGCAGCTACCATCAAGCCATCAAGAAGTTAATGTACTCGTTGTTTTTAAAGGATGTCTGAGGAACGTCTTTTCTTTGCAGAATTTCAGAAAAGTGGGTTATTCTAAAAGCGTACCAGCTATAAGTGTATGTATTTACTTTTATTTTAGTAAGTTGTTCTATCTTAGAGGACCACAGTTAAGTCATTTGATCAATCTGACTTCCTGTAAGAAATTGAATTTTATCAGAGTGACTGAAGTACATATTGCATATCAAGCCTGATATTGCTGATTTTTGTTTTTAAGATAAACCCATTAACAAACAATAAAGTCAGGATTTAGTGCTAGAAAATTCAAAAGTTTTGCTTTAGGCTTGAATACTTCCTGTCTTATGGAATCACAATCATGAGATTTTCCCTGCAATAGGTAAAGGTTGCTGGATTAATACTGTTATTCTAGTGGATGGTAATATGAAAAAGAGAGCATAACAATATTTCATAATTACCATAATTACTCAAATGATAGAAAATTTGGATGGTTTCCTTTAACAATAGGGATTTACTGTGCATGGTAACATGAGGTTTAAAGGCCTAATATAAACTGTGAAGATGCTGCGATCAGTTCAGTTGAGGTTTGTAATTGCTTTGAGGCAAGCTAAACCATAGCTGCTGAATTAAGGTATACGATTTCTTTTGTTTGTTTGTTTTAGACGGAGTCTCACTCTTGCCCAGGCTGGAGTGCAGTGGCACGATGGCTCACTGCAACCTCCGCCACCCAGGTTTAAGTGATTCTCCTGCCTCAGCCTCCTAAATAGCTGGGATTACAGGCATCCACCACCATGCACAGCTTGCTTGCTTGCTGATTGACTGATTGAGACAGAGTCTCACTCTGTTGCCCAGGCTGTAGTTCAGTGGTGTGATCTTGGCTCACTGCAACTTCCACCTCCCAGGTTCAAGCGATTCTGCTGACTCAGCCTCCTGAATAGCTGGGATTACAGGCACCCACCATCACGCCTGTCTAATTTTTGTATTTTTAGTAGAGACGGTGTTTCACCATGTTGGCCAGGCTGGTCTTGAACTCCTGACTTAAAGTGATATGCCCTCCTCGGCCTTCCAAAGTGCTGGAATTACATGCATGAGCCACTGCACCCAGCCTAAGGTATATGATATAATAGGCAATGGGGTTTTGATGCTATGTTGTTAATACTACCAGAACACAGTACGCTATTGTTGTACTCCAAAAAGCGTTATGTTTATGTAGGAAGACTGTCTAGACTGAGGGCTATCTAGTTATCTGATCATGTATAGGACCTTATTGCATTTAATTTAGAAACACATCCTATCTGTTACATTTGTAGATGTTATGCTTCAGTGCACAAAGAATGATTCTTCTGATAGTGGTCTCAGCCATATCATTTACAGATTAGGACTTCAGAGAGTTTTATTACTTAAGTTCTATTAAACCAAGATAAACTTTATTTTCTCTCAAATCTTTTACAGTTTGTTGTAGAATTTCAAATTTGTCTTTTATTACTTTCACCATCTGTTACAACCTGTTATTTTTACTATAAAATGAATTTTTTGGGTTATATTATTTTTCTTATTAAAAGTCAGTCCCCGTTTTTCTTTCTTTCTTCTTTTTCTTTTTCTTTTTTCTTTTTTTTTTTTTTTTTTTTTCTTTACAGACAGCTTTAAAAATTTACTCAGAAGGATCTGGTGTTCTATAGTAATGGGATTAGTGGGAGTTATAGTGATGCCCATTTAACCCATTTATCCATTTATGTTAACTTTCTTATAAAGTTGTCTATCTACAATTTTAGATAATTCCCTTGGAAATTTAGAGGAAGTACAGGGTATTTATTGTTGGATGCTAATGCCTCTCTCAGAGCTGCATCTTTAGATAGATTTTGGATAGTTGTACTTTTGGGTTTTAGCCAGTATCAGACATTGGTTCCTTTAATGGCCCTTTGTCATATTTTCAAGCATCCTTATCTCCTGAATCTTACAAGGCAAATCTTGTGGTGGTTTTCTCTAGAGAGCCAGAAGTTATAGTAATTTCCAGCTTGTTTACTTCTGAAGGCTCTCTGGAAATGTCTGGTCATATGTTGGATATTTTCTAAATCAATGCTTTAAATTTACTTTAATTAAATCCTCTTATTTATGTGTGACCCTATTTATAATAACAGAAGAAGGTCTTCTGAAATTGCCTGATGTATTTTAGAAAATATTTTATACTGTTATTTAAATCTTCTCTTTTCTACCTTATTGCATTGTTTTTTGTTTTTTGGGTTTTTTTGTACTGGAGGGGATAATCATTCACTGAACTAGTTGGTACAGATCTGCAGTCCAGGGCAGTGGTATATAACAACAAAGTCCTGAATTCTGTGGCAAATTGCTATCTTACTAAAGTTGATGAAAATCTTTGTTTATAACCTTTGACTTGGATTTACACCAAAGTTTTAATTTAACTTCTGTAGACCTGGCTTCTGGCCTAGTAATTTAGTGTGATATTATTATTATTGTTAATTGTTATTATTTTTTTGAGAAAACCCTGAAGAAAGGATGGCTTATATCAAAAGTTTAGGTAAAACTTAGTGGAAAGATAAGATATCAAGGAGGGTAAGTTTCAGAAGAACATAAAGTTTTGAAAAGAGAGTATTTAAAATTATTAAAATTTTTTTGAGGTTTCTACATATTAGTTGAAGAAGCTATTTCATGTTTTGTCTCATAATTTTTCAGCTACTCTTAAACACATTACTTACTGATTTTAACATATCAGAACTTTCTCATAATTACCAGTTTTGTTCTAAGTCAAAACATTTTTTTTGCACTTTACTAAGGAAAATGCAAGAGGTAGAATTATAATGCAACTTTATATAAGAAGCAGAAGTTCTTCCAAGAGGAGGTTGAGACTTTGATGTAGTATGACACATTGAGGCCACTTTGGCTGGTCAGCAGCGTTTGTGAACAGTGTCTCAAGTCACCTGACCAAGCAGAGGTCAGACGTCAGGAAGTGTTCTTACAGTCAAAGATCTGACAGTCATTGACCCCAGAATACAGGCCAGTGAACCAAATGATCTTTCTCAAAAGTGACAAGATAGGGAATGCCCTCATAAAGGGCATGATTTCTGTGTAACATTATATTCATTGGACTTTTGAAATAACTATATTCATGTACTTTTTTCCCACTGTAAATTCAGAGTGTTTTAAATACATTCTAGTTGTATCTGCAAATCTTTTAAATGTGTTTTAATTTTTTTGTAATATTATAAATTTACTTTTGAGTTTGTGCCATTCTAACAGAAGCAAAATCACAGGTGTTCTTAGATGTTTTTTCCTACCTAGGCAGTAAACCATACTGTAACAAATGTGGCTTAAGGAGCATATCTGTGTTGACATGAAAGTAAAATAAGGTGATATGTTGATTTTATTTTGAGTCTTGATTTTAATTTTAATTATAGATACTTCTTCAGAAATGAGTTGCACAATTGAGAAGGCACTGGCTGATGCTAAAGCTCTTGTTGAAAGATTAAGAGATCACGACGATGCAGCGGAATCTCTGATTGAGCAAACCACAGCTCTCAACAAGCGAGTAGAAGCCATGAAGCAGGTTTGATTTTTATTTCTTGTTCCTTCCATTTAACAAAAGCGGTCATTGACAGTTATGTATTGCTGGCTAATTAATATCTCATTTTTTTTCAATGTTCTCTTAAATTTTAAAGTAGCTTGACTTGTGTGTTTCAGGTTTACTTTAATTTTGTCATGTTCAGGTGACATATGTAGGCATATATTTCTAGATCAAATCTAGACCTAGATATGATTGCTTATTTTGCTGACAAGAGTTGCACATTTGAGTTTCCAAAATAAATGAATTTGTTAGGTCTAGAAACATTTGACAAAGACCAGATAATACCTTTTACTAATGTTGGTACACATTTTGTTCTGTCTTATATAATGTGGAAATGTTCATATGATTCTTTATAAAAGTACTTAGGTGATGCTGTTTAACAACAAAATAGCTTTTGAAAATGATGCAAGGTAATATCTGATATATACTTTGTGCAATTATTGTACCCATACTTGCTCCCTTATTTTTTATTTAATGCTACCAATTAAAGAATAAATAAAAAGGGCTTTCTTCTTACTATTTTTACTATTGTATAACAGAATAGGGCCACGGAGTTCAGACACTATTTTAAACCTTCTGATAAAAATTTTCAAGTCATTTAAGAAAATTATAAGATCTCTGACATTATAGTGGAAATCAGAGGGGGGGGGAATGTATCTTCACAGCCAACTCTCCTCATCTATTTTATACGTGGAAGCAATTCTGGGACAGTATTTTTAACAAAGCTACTGGAAATAGTGGAGCAAGTTTACTTATTTGGTTTTACAACTTTGTTGCCCTAAACAGATTTACCTGCATCCCTAATGAACTGTCCAGCTAGACTCAGCACTTCAGTGAACATATATCTGGTATTGAGTTGTTAAAAAAGGAGTTTGGCATCTGAAGTTAAGAACCAGGAGTGTTATAATGAATGTATTACTGTCTCGTGAGAATGCCTTGAAAGCAAATGAGTGAGATTTTAAAATAAGATTCTCATTTTCTTAATGGAAAATCTGTTTGCATTTCTTTTGTACATGTTCTGTTATTATTAAGATATTCACATACCATAAAATTTACCTTTATGAAGGATACAGTTCGTTGGATTTTAGTACACATTTGCAGGTTATGCAGCATAACCACTATGTGATCCCAGAACATTTCATCATCATATAAAACCTTACATACATCAGTGGTCTCTCTAGTTTCCCCTTTCCTCAGTCTTTGACAACTACTAATATTTCTATCTCTATGAATTTGCCTATTCTGGACATTTCGTATGAATGGAATGATAAAATATATGATGTTTTGTGATTGGCTTCTTAACAAAATGTTTCTAAGGTTCATCTATGTTGTAGCATGTGTCACTACTTCATTCCTGTTTATTGCCAAATAATATTGCATTGTAAGGAATACAGCACATTGTTCTTATCCATTCATCAGCTGATAGGCATTTGGATTATTTTACTTTTTGGCTAGTAAGAATATACTGTTATCAATATTTGTGTACAAGTTTCTGTGCGGACACATGTTTTCAGTTTTCTTGGGTATATACCTAGAAGTGGAATGGATGGGTCCTACAATAACTTGGTTAAATTTTTTGAGGATCTGCCACGTTGTTCGCCAAAGCAGCTGCACCAAGCTTGTCCAACCTGTGACTTCCTGGCTACATATGGCTCAGGATGGCTTTGAACGCAGCCCAACACAAATTCACAAACTTTCTTAAAACATTACAAGATTTTTTTTTTTTTAAAGCTCATCAGCTGTCATTAAGTTAGTGTATTTTATGTGCGGCCTGACAGTTCTTCTTCAGTGTGCCCAGGAAAGCGAAAACATTGGACACCCAAGAGCTACATCATTTTACATTCCATCAACAATGTATGGAAGGTTGCAATTTCTTCATATCCTCTCCAACAATTGTTATTGTCTATTATATTATAATCATCCTAATGGGTTATATTGAATTGCATACCCATAATGACTAGTTACATTAAGCAAGCATCTTTTCATGTGCTTATTGGCCATTTTTGTCTTCTTTAGATAAATATTTATTCAAATCCTTTGCCACTTTTAAAAATGGGAGTTATTTTCAGTTTATCGTTGAGTTGTAAGAGTTCTTTATATATTCTAGATACTAAGCTCTTATCAGATATTTATGTGTATATTTCAGATATATTTATATATCAGATATATATTTGCAGATATTTTCATCCCACATGTTTTGTTCCCCATTAGTATCAGGAAGAAATTCAAGAACTTAATGAAGTTGCAAGACATCGGCCACGGTCCACATTAGTTATGGGAATCCAGCAAGAAAACAGACAAATCAGAGAATTGCAACAAGAAAACAAAGGCAAGTTATGTTACTTTTTGACATTAATCCCATTTCTAGTCTCTATTGCTAAATCATATTTATTGCTCTATATCATTCCCTGCATACAAACATCTGCCTTGCTTGACATCCTCTTAGATTCTCACTTTCAGTATCCAGTTAGCACCACCATTTTTTAGCTATGAAGTAAGTCAGCTTTGTTCTCTGCAGTCCCACTGCATTGGCCTCCAGATTAGATGCTCAGTCTCTTACCCAAAATGTCCAAACTGATCTCCCTGATTCCAGTCTCTCTTCCCCCTTCCAGTCTGTCTTCGACACAAGCATCAGATTGATATTTCAAAAATCAATCTGATCATGTTATTCTTTTGCTTAAGAACTTTATTGTATAGGCACTACCTTTTACAAGGACCCTAAAAATCAATTCCCAGCCTTCTTTTTTATCTTCTTCCCACAGCTTTATTCACCATAAACTCTTTGCTCTTGCCAAAACAAATCACTTCCTAAACACATCATCTGTTTGCATGCCTCCCTGCTTAAAATGTCCATTCCTTCACTTTTCAACTGAGGGAACTCACACTACTTCTACAGAGCTTCCACCATTTCTCCTCACAGACATCTCTTAAATCTATTTGACTGACTCTCAACTCTGCACCTACCACATACTTGTTTTCTCTACTAAACTCTTGAAGTCTGTGGTGGCCCTTTGGTATTCTTAATTTAGAGGAAGCCTTGGCTGATATTTAATTGCTATTTAGTGAATCTTTGTTGAAATGATTCTGAAAAAACAGGTTTAAAATGCTCATTCAAAAAATTAATAAGAGACTTCATTTGGTGACCCTTATTGTTATATGGCTAGGTTTTTGTGCATTGTGTTTTATTTTTAAAATGTCCTATTCCTAAGTCGCTTAGTGGAAGAGAATATTTTATGCACTTTTAACTCGAGTTTGAATAAAATTCAATGTTATTCTTGATAGAATTGCGTACATCCCTGGAAGAACATCAGTCGGCCTTGGAACTTATAATGAGCAAGTATCGAGAACAAATGTTTAGATTGCTAATGGCTAGCAAAAAAGATGATCCAGGCATAATAATGAAGCTAAAAGAGCAGCACTCCAAGGTAATACATTCTATAAATGTGATATGAAATGAAAAAGAAGGATGATTGATTATCCTGTGTTCAGATTTTTTTGTAAAAAAATCACAGGTATCTAGTTAGCGGCATTTTAACATGATGTTGAATGTTTCATCCTTTTAATTGACATTTTCTCCTTCTAATTTTTCCATTTCTTGTTATATATCATTTTCTGTTTGATTTACTCTTATAGCTCTCACTGTTTCTTAGAAACTTTTAATTTGTATGTTGAAAAATTAGTTTTATTTTGGATATAAAGGTAAGTCTGTACTATACAACATTATTTTTGTAGGGCTATATGCTTTTAAGAAATATTTCTTTAAAGGCTGGGCATGGTGATTCACGCCTATAATCCCAGCACTTTGGGAGGCCAAGGTAGGAGGATCGCTTGAGACCAGAAGTTCGAGACCAGCCTAGGCAACATAGCACGACTCCATCTCTACAAAAAGTAAAAAAGTTAGCCAGGTATGGTAGCACGCGCCTGCAGGCCTAGCTTCTCGGGAGGCTGAGGTGGATAGATCACTCCAGCTCAGGAATTCGAGGTTACAGTGAGCTATGATCATGCCGTTGCGCTCCCATCTAGACAACAGAGTGAGAGCCTGTCTCTCAAAAAAAACACACACACACAGAAATTTTTTAAGAAAATTTTTTTCCGATAAATTTGTGTATTGACTTCTCTTGCAAAAACAAACAAAAAATACTGAAACCTTCAGATTTTTTTAAAATCTGAAAGCAGTTTAATATAGATTTGTTCTTCTTAAGACATTTTCTGAATGAGGCTAATTCATCCAGACTATAAATGATCTTAATTATTATAATGGAAAAAACATGGAGTTGAGGAGAAGAAACAACATATTAAAGTTTTGCTCCCCTGCCCCAGTATTGCATACCAATTGACGTCATTTTTTTTTTTTTTTTTTTTTTACAAGCAAAGCTGAATTAGTTATAAATTAGTGTTTTACCTGCCGTTCACCCCTTTGTCATTCCTGTGGCTATTCCCTTTGGTATGTCTTGATATTTTATGGCAACTGCTATGAAAACAAGTAGAATAATCCTTTCTCATTTGTATTTATTTTAACTGAATTTTAATTGCTGATGTGAAATAAAAATATTAAGCTAGATTGTGGAAACTAGGCTATTATCTGTATTACATAATGGTGAGCTGACTATTAGTTATTAATATTATTTAAGAAATAGTGATATGAACCTTTTTTCCCCATTTGTTACAATAGAAATGGGAAAGGAGATATTTTTATAATTATCTATTACTGAAACACATTTTAGATTCTTTAAAATAATTCTTCCGTTTTGGTGCTTCTTTTAGGTGTTTTTAACTTATTAGTAATTAATTCTATTAGAATTAAATACCTATCAAATAGCTCTTTTTGTGCCTTTATATATTAGAAAACCTAATGATAGGTACCTCTTATGTCAACCAGTAAAATAATAAATTAATGAATTTGTGTTTAATATTTTCTAATTATACTATTCATCTCCTAATCAAATGGAAATCCATGGATGTTTTAAGTGGTGATATTTTTAATACAAAACGTAGCTTGTTAATGAGACCATTCTCAAATCATTTAAATTTAAAGGTATAATAATAACTATAATAACTAAGACTTTTCTAAAGACACTAAAGGGAATTGACTTAATATTATTAGTAAGATAAATGTAATCTTGAGACTTTCCAAAAGGTTTGTATGTTTTATAATGTAAAAAATAAAATGTTAAAGATCTAAAGGTAAGAATACCATTACAAAAGAATACAGCTTGCTGGTCCTATCTGGTAGCAACTATGACAGAAGCAAATGTTTTCTAAAATACATAGATTTTATTATTCACCAGAGCTGGTTTATTAATTAGTAAAGTTAAACATTCCCTATGATAGCTGTGAACCATCCTTTTCATTATGTAGATTGAATTCTTCATCTAAGTTCAGGTGATCCTTGCCTCCCATAAAATGACTATTCTGTTACTTGTTATTAATTCTCACTAATATATATTAATGTTTGTGATTTTGATTTTTCCCAAAAAGGAGACACTTCGACTTAAACAAACATTAATACTTGCACTGAGTTAGTTGTGGGTAATGTAATAATAAGATGAACGTACAAGTAGCTTGCAGTATAATTGGAGATACAGACACAAACGTAACTATCTACTATAAGGTAGGTTGTGATGAATCTCATAGTAGAGAGATGAATTGTTACTGGAATGCTAGAGGGAGCAATATTAGTTGTCATAAGGAAAATCTGGAAGGATATCAGGGAAGGAAAGAAAATCTGTCTCAGTCCAGCCTTGAATTAATTATGGGTAGGTAGGTCAACAAGCAAAAGTGAGTGGGCATAGAAACTTGTATAATAAAGGCACAAAAAGTACGGGATTCTAGGATGTGTTTAGGTACCAGTGCTCTGATATGCCTAAGTGCAAAAGTAATTTTACAACACATTTAGGGCTAAAGAATAGAATTACACATAGCAGCATTTTGGATTGGATTAAGAGATCCTTTTGAGACTGTTATAAAACAGAACTTTGCCCTTACCTAGAAGTTTTTGAGAGACCCTTTTGAGAGTGTTATAAAACAGAACTTTGCCCTTACCTAGAAGTTTTTGAGCACATACTTACAAGTCAGTAGAAAGTTTGAGAGCTCATTTTTACCCAAATACTAATTTTCACGTTATTTTTGAACAGATGCCTTTTTGGAAATCTTAAAAAAGCAAACATTTCAAACAGTTGGCTAACACGCATGAACTAACACTCATTCAGTTTTTAAATTACGGATGATATCCGTATTAACATTATAATGACTCTATACTACAGATTGACATGGTACACCGTAACAACTCCGAAGGATTCTTCCTTGATGCATCTCGACACATCCTTCAAGCACCTCAACATGGACTGGAGAGAAGGCACTTGGAAGCAAATCAGAATGTACACTAAATAAACAGTCAACTTTTGGGGTGTGGATGGAAGGGGGGTCCATTTTAAAAGTTTTTTTACATTGAATTTCCCTCCCAGATTAGATCAGCAAATAAATGGAATTTATTAAAATAATGTTGTGTCTTTAATAGCCATGCTGTTAAGTGTAGAAACTTTAAACCTCTCATTAATTTTCTGTGTATCATATCACATACAGCTTGTTAGATATTTTCGAGTTTTATAGGTTATTCAGCCCAATTCTTTATTTGCTCTTGTTACCTGTTGCTGTAAAACAGTCATTTTCTTTCTGGGCATCAAAGATATTTTCTTGGCATTAATTTTAACCTGATTTCATAAAAATTTTGGTCAAAATACTAAATGTTTTGATTCAGATTTTGGATAGTTTGTACTCCTTTGATTTTGCAAATAAAATAAAAATGTTTTTGTTTATATGTTAGGATTAAGCATAGTAGTGCTCTCTCCATTGTGTCTTAACTTTTTTTTTTAACTCACTTGTGGCAGATCTTTATTGAATAAAGAAGGAATACACCTAGACAGGGAGTTAGAAATGAAAGACATTTCAAGACAGCTCAAGGGTTATGTTGGTGACACTTCTTGTCTTCAAGACAGTTTTGAAAGGACAGATCTTGCCTCTTGTGCTCATTAAAAAGTGTGTGATACTTCTCTAAAGATTTTATAGTTAATAAGTGAACCATTACCCTGGCCTATAAAAATGCTGTTCTGTTTTAAGTATTGGGTGTTTTCTCATTATGAGTTTTGTTAGAAGAGACTCTGTACTGAAAAAATCCGCTTTTTTCCCCTTCTATTTTAAAGGCAAAGAAATGCTTCCTGTATAGTTTTTAAACTTAGGTCAGTGCCATAGGACTGACCAAATCATAAATTGAGAAAGCTGTTGGCATTCAAAATTTTTACTCATTACCCTTTATTCAGTTTGCTGCTGCAATGATCTATACTTACTTGCTTTTATATGCTCCCTTGACAATGGGAGGAATTTTAATGATTAACTTGCGGAATATGACAAATATTTGTCCTGGTAGCATTCTTGCTACTCTAATCTTCAAAACTGTCCAATAGAACTTTTCTGAAATGATGGGAATGTTTTTTATCTGTGCTGTCCAGTGTGGAAGCCAGTTGCCACATGTGGCTGTTGAGCACTTGCAGTGTCACTAATGCAGCTGAGGGACTGAATCGTTAGTTTTTTTTTTTCTTTTTTTTGAGATGGACTCTCACTTTGTCACCCAGGCTGGAGTGCAGTGACACAGTCTCAGCTCACTTCAACCTCCGCCTCCTGGGTTCAAGTAATTCTCATGCCTCTGCCTCCTGAGTAGCTGAGACTATAGGCGCACGCCACCACACCCGGCCAATTTTTGTATTTTTAGTAGAGATGGGGTTTCACCATGTTGGCCAGGATGGTCTCGATGAATTGTTGATTTTTAAAAATATATTGATTTTAATTAAGTTTAAATAGCATTGTGTTGGACAGCACAGATTAGTCTTTTATGGTACCTTCTTGCTGAGTACTAACAGTGTATAGGTTTCCCTGTTAAAAGGACCTACATTTCTGTTGGTTAAGAGGCTATTAAATGTGGTTTGCCAAAGATACTACTTTATCATTTCTTCCAGCTTAACAACTTCTGTGGGTTTTGGAGTACTGTTAAATTCTTTTTACAAAAAAGTATATATCTATATAATTACTAAAGAGACAGTGTTCCTTTGGGTAGTTATTCACTTTTATATTTAAGTCTTGGGTTTAATATAATAAAATATCTCTCAGTTGCCAGTGAATCATGATCTATAGAAGCTGTTCATTGGGAAAATGATTATTCTCAAGTTTCTGTTGATTTTAAACCTTTTTTGTCTGTCTCTTTCACTAGACTGTAAGCTCCTTCAGATCAGGGAACATGTCTTAACAGTCTTTGTATTCCTGTTGTTTAGCACAGTACTAGCACATTGTGGGTGTGCAAAAAATAAGAGAATGAGATTGAAAGAATTTATGCTACTTGCTGCGCCTAACAAATGTGGATGTCTGTATTATACTGATACTGTATTTTCAATAGTTGGCAAAGGCCATTTAATATTTTAATACTGGAAAGCAGAATTGTGCTCATTTTATCCAATATTTATCTTATACCATACACTAAATAATAGGTGGATGTAAAGATGCACTTCCTCCTCTCAAAGAGGATCATGATCTAGAAAAGGTTACAGATTGGACTGAGATCAATTTATAGGCCTGAGCAAAACAGAAAAGATTTCTAGATCATTGAAGACTTCAGAGAGGAAAAAAGATTGAATGTGTTGGCAATTTTTATCTTTCCCATTACTTTGAACAATAGTGTATGTAAGTGCAAAAAAAAAAGTTGCTGATCATTGTGGTGAGAGGAATATAAAATATGAATACTTTCCTTGCCGCTAGGTTTAATTGTATTGTGCTGCTTATTCTTAATTCTAGTCCTAACAAATCTGATTTTAAAAGCACATCCGTGGTCAACCAACTTCATTGTGAATATTTGTTTTATTTATATTAAGTGACAATGTAAGAATATTATATTCATGTTAAGTGATACTGCAGATTTAAAAAAAAAAAAGAGAGGATCCAGAAATAAAAATAATAAAGTATTTTGCTGATTTCCAACTCCCATCCTTCTTTTTCAGGAACTGCAAGCACATGTTGACCAGATAACTGAAATGGCAGCAGTAATGAGGAAAGCCATTGAAATTGATGAGCAACAGGGTTGCAAGGAACAAGAACGAATATTTCAACTTGAAGTAAGTTTTATATTGTAAATGTAGGTGAAAACTGTCCATACAAAGATTTATGTCAGAAAATATATCTCATTTTTAAATGTGTGTGTATATATATACACACACACGCACACTTTTCTGGGGTACTGATAGTGTTCTCCTGGATGCTGTTTATATGGGCATATTATGCAAGACCATTTATATGGTAATGCAAGAATCTAGGATCATTAGTAACTTACAATATATCAATAATTTAGAAAATTGAGGTTTGATCCTATATTGCTTATCTTAGGAGGTGAACGTACTTCTTCAGTTGAGTAATTTTTAAAATTTTGTTTATTCTATTGGAGATCATGGTGATACAGGGAAATTTTTTTTAAACCACAGATATTTAGGAGCAATTTTATTTTTCTGGGGACTCTCAAAGCCTTTGTCTCATCCTCCTTTATTTTGTGATAGTGAAAGTGCAAGTCACTGAATAACTAATATCAGTACAATAGACTTTTATACTTTTAAGACCTTCATTTTGAAATCATGGTGGGGAATCGGCTTTAGACTACTAAAATTTAGAAAGTGAGACTAAAAACAAAGTGGTAGAGAATAAATTACGAAAGGTTGTTGTTAAATGTCTACAAATTTTTTTACAATAACCAAAAGGGGGGTGGAAAGCAAAGTTGTTTACCAGTGTCAGATTTAGTTACTTACATTCCTTCTTGACAAATATCATCAGCTACCCCAACCCTGCTGCTCCCAAATTCCAGTGAGAGAAACTTGTCCTTCATTCTGTGCTATCATGAAAAGTAATAAAAATACTAAAAAGTGCTAAGAGATTGTAGCCTATTCACTGGCTTTATGAGTTTATATAAATATAAATCTAGATGTTATTTTCTTCATCTCTAATGTGATTGTAAAATAAGGCCATTTCTGAGTTTCTATTTACAATTATAGCTGCTTGAGTAAGAAGGCTTTGCAGTTGTGTAAGATGTTGAACACAATTCCTAGCTGTTTAGGTGTTTTTTAGATTCAAATTGCCAATTGCATACATCATTGAGTACATTAATGCCAATTACAGAACTTATTTGTTATACCTTCATATGTTTAGTTTTTCCTAACATATGTTTGTGCTGTTTAGCTACCTTGTAGATGGCGACTGCATCTTTGTTTTTGTTTGCCTTCTTACAGCAAGAAAACAAAGGCTTGAGAGAGATCCTTCAAATAACTCGAGAATCATTTTTGAACCTAAGGAAAGATGATGCGTCGGAAAGTACTTCTTTGTCAGCATTAGTGACCAACAGTGACTTGAGTCTGAGGAAGAGCTGAAGAGTTTCTGAGTCTGTGAGCTTCTTACATGGCTCCAAATGGTCAAATAAGTGAATGAATGAATGAATGAACAGAAAATTCAGTCCTTTATTTTTTTCTCTATAAATATGTATAGTGCACTGGCTATGAGATAGCAACAAAAAAATGCATAGTTAATGATCATAGACTTTATTCCAAAACATAATTGGAAAATAGAAACTGAGCCATTGCCAACTGGTAAAGAAATGAAAGATTTTCACAGTGACTACTGAATATATCAAGAGCTTTTGGCAGTTGTGCTGGCTTTCTGGGTGATTAATAAGGTAAGCTTGAATATTCCCAGTAAATGTTTGAGAATTCATAAAATTATACCTTCCCAATAAATGTTTGAGAATTCATAAAATTATACCAATCTAAAAATATACATTTTGGGCACTGTTTTGTGAACTGAGGATTTGTATGCTAAATTTCATCCTTCCAATTTGGCGTCAAAGTTAATACAAAGTTTATGTACCATGAGACTTCAGCTTTAGTGATTGCCTGCTTTCACATTTATTTAATTTTTTGTGAAAGAAAAGTTATAAAGGCTATAGGAATGAATGTGTTATATGTACCATCAACAAAAGAGATAATTTTAGCAACTTACCATAACTGATACTTAGCTAACAATTGTCCATAGCTTATTGAAGTGTAAGAAATATCATTTCAGGAATGAAAAAGAAGGAATACTACTTTCTAAGAAAGAAGATCTTATAATAGACATTTTTAGTAGGTTAAACTACTCCTTTGAAAGAATAAGTTTTGGTTTGAAGTCAGTAATGAAGATAAATTTGTTTTTCTCTTCTCTGGCTGATTTTTAAGGATATTATGTAGTTCATTTAGTTAACAGAATTGAAATGTTTGCTATAGCAAGAAAGGTATGGTAATTTAAAAAGTGAATTGGGAATTCTTCTGGCTCATAAAACCCTTTTTTTTCTTTAAGTATTCTTGAGATACGAAAAGAAAGTGAATTAAAATTTCAAAAAAAGAAAAATTTCTGAATCTGTTTTCAGGCTCCATCTGATCCTCATAATCTGTAAGATTTTTCTTAAGACCTTTCAGCTGAAAGTGGGAGTGGGGTGGGATGATCTGTGGATTTAGAAGTATTTGTTTTCTGTGGTCTTTTAAAATGTCAAATATATAGTATGTAAATTTTTTAAAAGCCACCAGATACAGATATGTGCTTTAACATCAGTTGAAAACTAAATTTTCTTATGTTGTGGTGATTGTAGTAAAAAGGGATAAGAGTATCAAACATGATTAAATATATTGTACTCATTTATAATGAATACATATTAAAATTAAGACATAGGAAATTCTACTTTGAGTACGTAATTTGTTAAATAAGTATTACTTTATATGGTAATTGTATGTATAATTTCATATACCGGTAAAATTCAAAACTACACTTCAGAAAATTTTTCTATCTTAAGTTTGGTGCGAGTGGGGTGGATGAGGCTAATTGAATAGAAAAGGGCTGATGACTCAAACATTACATAGATTTCTTTTCTCAGTCAGAGGCCTTATTTGATATTTTATAAATGACAGTTTTTATTTTTAAACTTTTTTATTGTTTTTGGTAAAGTATCCCTTTATTTAATGACACACTTATTCAGATACTTTTTATCCCTAAAGGAAATAAGCTACACAATTGAGATTAAGTCTGAGGCAATTCATTGAGGTAGCTCTGATATAAAACATTACTTGATAAATAATTATTTTTGTAAACAAGCTGGGTTAACTTATTCTTGGTCTTTTTGCTTGGATATGACTTTAAGGTCTTGATGTTTAAAGATATTTACTTTGTTATTTAGTGACACTTTTCTATCCCTTTTTTTGGGGGGGTTGTTAAACAGAACCTTAAGTTTATGTCTGAGGTATGTGCTGCATAGGAACCTATTTTATTATTAAAGATGAGTGATTAAAATTGGTATGGTCTCCAATTTAATTTGAAAAATTCTTACATTTATTCTTATATATGGTTAATTTTAAGGTCTTTTGTCTCTTCTTACTACAAAACTACTTAGCAACAACCTCTGTCTGTAGTCCTTAGGATAGGCAACTTCTTAGTGCAGATCCTGTAGAATTTCTGTCTATAGTGGGTTGAATCTTGTCCCCCAGAAAGTAAGTCTGAGTCCTAACCTGATACACCTGTGAAGGTGACCATATTTGGAAATAGAGTCTTTATAGATGTGATTAGGGGATCTCATGATATAATTACCCTGGATTTAGGGTGGGCTCCAAACCCGATGAGTAGTGTCCTTACAATAAGAGAGAAGGAGATACAAAACAGATATAGCTCCATGAGGACAGAGGCAGTTAGTTACTCAAGGACTGCTAGCCACCACCAGAAGCTGCAAGAGAGACATGGAATGAGTTCTTTATGGCCTTTAGAAAAGACCAAGCCTACTTGATTTCAGGCTTCTAACCTCCAGAACTGTGAGGAAATAAATTTCTGTTGTTTTCATCCATCCAGCCTATGGTAATTTGTTACAGCAACTCTAGGAAACTGAAACATCATCTATTATTTATCATCTATCAAGTATATTTTTTATTTTATATAAAAAGAACAGTTCTTAAAAACCCAATTATTTATAACCTCACAGATAATTTCTGCTCTAATTTATATTCTTTAATATTAAGGTGTCTTCCAAAATTTTATAGAAATAAATTGCTTCCCTATAATCCCAGCACTTTGGGAGGCTGAGATGGGCAGATCACTTGAGGTCAGGAGTTAGAGACCAGCCTGGCCAACATGGTGAAACCCCATCTCTATTAAAAATATAAAAAGTTAGCCAGGCATGGTGATGGGTGCCTGTAAACCCAGCTATTTGGGTGGCTGAGGCAGGAGAATCGCTGGAACCCAGGAGGCAGGGGTTGCAGTGAGCCAAGATCGTGCCACTGCGCTCCAGCCTGGGCAACAGTAGTAAAACTTCGTTTCTCCTCCCAAAAAAAAAAAAAGGAAATTGCTTCAATGAAGTGGAAGATCGTAGATTCATAACTTAATTTTGGTATCACCACTACCTTTTCACATTGTCAGAGTGAAATAGAACTTTTTTTAGTAAAATATTGATGAAGGTAATTTCTAATTGGAATTTGAGGAGACACTTTCCTTTTACCTCACTGGCTGTTCCTCAGTCTCCTTTGTTTCTTCTCTCTGACCTCTTAGCATTAGAGAGCCACTGGGCTCAGTCGTTATACCTGTTCTGTGCAGTATCTCTACTCACTTTGGTGATCTCACCCAGTCTCATGACTAAATATCACCTCTATGCTTGATGTCTCATGAATTCACAGTTCTAGCACAGACGTCTAATTCCAGATTCATGCAGCTGTGACTGTCAAAGAGACATTTCAAACTTAAGATGTCCAAAGCCAAACTGAATCTCCCAGAACCTCTCCATACTCTTTCCCATCCTTGCAGCTGCCAGGGCCAAAAACCTTGGTGACAACTTTGATTCCACTTTCTCATACCATGCATCCTATTCATCAGCAAATCCTGTTGTTGGCTCTTCCTTCCAAAAATATCAAAATCCCACCATTTTTCTCCTTCACTGTTACCGCTGGTCAAAGCTACATTATGGTAGTGTTAAAGTATACAAATTAGATTCAACCTAAATATCCTACAGTAGGGGAATAGTTACGTATCAAAATTCACTTAATACAGTTGATTACAATCTATGGCTTGAAGACACTAGCAATAGGAAGAAAATCTGTACCTAAATTTGCATGATAAAAAGCTTAATATAAATTACACATATAATTACAAATATGTAAAAATCAGATGCATAGGAGGAAATGTCCTGAAGCAAATAACATCAGTATTTCAGCTGTCTTGTTTGCATTGGCCAGTTTCTGTTGCCTATAATCAAGCATTTTGTAGCTCCCATTATATAGTTGTAATTTATTCATCAGTTTTCCCAATTGATGGATATTTAGTTTGCAAAGTTTAACACAAAATAATGCTGCAGTAAACATCCATTTACATGCCTTTATTTACTGTAATTTCTAGCATATAAATCCCCAAAAGTTTGTTGGGTCATGTTTGTTCTTTTTAAATGAAAAAATAAATGTATATTGTTAAAAATCTAGCATTCTAAAAAATTTACAATTCAGAGTAAGTAAACCTCTTGCTACAACCTCTGTCTTCCCAGAGGTCATTATAAGTTTCTTGTGAATCAGAAAACCTGTTAACCAAAAAAAGTGACTAAGGCAAGTGTCTTAAATCAGTAGAGGTTTATTTAGCCAAAGTTTAAAGACATACCAGGGAAAAAAATGCAAGTAACATGAGCATCTGTGACCTGAGCTTTCCAAAGACGTTTTGGAAACTCATTATTTAGGAGGGGAGAGCAAGGAAGGAAAAGGGAGAGGGGTAGGCAGTGAGGCAAATGATTACATTCTTGTGAGACTCTGGTTAACGCTCAGTAAATCTGTTTCACATAATATAAGGTAAACTTTGAAAAAAGGGAATAAAGACTCAATTATACATCCATCTTAGGGTAGGCAGAAGAGTGGTTGATCTTGTCTCATCCTTATTCTGTACCTGGGAAGATAAGCTTGTTAATGGCATTGTCAGTGTGAGATTTTAACAGAACTTGGTTTTAAGAATTAAACTTAGGGTGCAGACCCAAGGTTACAATTGCCACGTGCTGGTTTTATAGCTCTCCACAATGAGAAGGGAAGGCCTTGGGGCTTCCGTTAATACTCCCCCACCTACATGGAACATACTTAGGTTTGGCTACTCCTACTCAACCTCCAAGTTTCTGCTGGGATGTCACTTCCTCAAGGACTCCTTCCCTGGCATCCCACTTTCTACCCCACCCCATTATACATTTTCATTGCATATTATACATCTTGTGTAACTAGTGTGTCTCACTTATTATACTCCAGTCCCAGACAACAAAGACCATGCCTGTGTTTTCCATCTTCCCAATGCTCAAGGCAATGCCTGGCATACAGGAACTCAACAAATGTTTACTGAATGAGTGAATGTGAGATTTAAGTCAAAGCCTATCATTATATTACAATTTTTTTTCTTTTTCTTTGAGGCAGTGTCTCTCTTTCTTGCCCAGGTTGGAGTGCAATGGTGCAATCTTGGCTCACTGCAACCTCTGTTGTCCCAGGTTCAAGTGATTCTGCCACCTCAGCCTCCCAAGTAGCTGCGATTACAGGCGTGTGCCATCACATCCGGCTAATTTTTTTTGTATTTTTAGTAGAGACAGGGTTTCACCATGTTGGCCAGGCTGGTCTTGAACTCTTGACCTCAAGTGATCTGCCTGTCTCGGCCTCCCAAAGTGCTGGGGTTCCAGGCGTGAGCCACCTTAAGTTTTTTTTTTAATCTTAAGCTTGATCCAGACCTACCAACCTCCCCAGTATAATGATTACATGGTAGTCCCTGGGTAAGTCCAGAGTTCCCACTAACTTAAGCCTCTCTTTGTGTCAATTTCATTAAGAGTGGTCCTTGCAAATACAATGGCCAAATTGCCAAGAGCCATTTCAGTCAACAATCAGGGTAAAAAAGGCTTGCAAAGGATTCTTTTGGTAGGGTTGCCATATTAAAATACCACAGACTGAATGGCTTAAGCAGAAATAACATTTCTCACAGTTCTGGAGGCTGAATTCCATGATCAAGGTGCCAGTAGGGATGGTTTCCTCTACTTGCAGATGGCTTCCCTCTTGCTGCTCTATGCATGGTCTTTCCTCTGTGAGCACATGTGCCTGGTGTTTCTGTGTCCTAATCTTCCCTTTTTACAAATACACTAGTCAGACTGGATTAGGGCCCACCCTAATCGTCTCAATTTAATTTGAAACCTCTTTAAAGGCCCCGTCTCCAAATAAGGTCATGCTCTGAGGTACCGGGTATTAGGAATTCAACATATAAATTTGTTGGGGGGCACAGTTTAGTCCATCAGAAAACCATAGGTAGCAGCCCTCCCAACAAGGTCTGGGGTGCAATGAGGTCTGTGCCCCAGGGCAAGGCCCGGTTCTCAGAAAATTAAAGCCAAGAACTCTGGGTTTGAATGAATATCACAAGTACATCATCTAGGAGTGAACTTCAGACCAAGTTTGAACAGATGCTGCTGTGGAGAAATGGATATTAGAAATTTATGTACCAATCATTTGAAATAAATGGTCCATGACTTCAGAGTTAACTTGGAAAAACATGCTTTCACTGTGTAAAATTAATTTTCAAAAAGAACAGTCAGCTATATTAGAAACATTCTATCAATTCATCAGCAGAAGAAAATAGAAAATAACCTGGTGCTTTACGTCTTCATCATGACAAGTGTAAAGCACATTTGGATATGGAGTTGGGCATCCCAGTTTTGGTCTGAGCTGCGTTATTTGATAACTCTCTGACTTCATATCATTAACTTCTTAAGAATTTCCTCGGGTAGTAAATAGAGGTCAGTGAACATGATCTCTTAAGTCTTTTGAAAGTTCAATATTCTAGCAATTTCTTTGTTAGTTTTCTATTTCATCTGCTACAGAAAACTCAACTGGCCTAATATAGCTAGTACGAACTTTCTGAAAACATTTTAAAGAACAGTTCAACAAAGTTTCCTGTTCATTACTACTTTTCTTTAGTATGATACACGTGAAGTGCTAATAACACCAATTTAATCCTTTTTAATGCACTGCCCCAGATTTCTTCATTTCCTGTAAATTATCCTTGTGATTTTTTTTTTTTTTTTTTGAGACTGGGTCTTGCTCTGTCCCCCAGGCTGGGGTGCAGTGGCGTGATCTTGGCTCACTGCAACCTCCACCTTCCAGGTTCAAGCAATTCTCCTGCCTCAGCCTCCTGAGTAGCTGGGATTACAGGCATGCACCACCATGCCTGGCTAATTTTTGTATTTTTAGTAGAGATGGGTTTTACCATGTTGTCCAGGCTGGTCTCGAACTCCTGACCTCAGGTGATCTGCCTGCCTCGGCCTCCCAAAGTGCTGGGATTACAGGTGTGAGCCACTGTGCCTGGCTATCCTTGTGATTTTTTAAAATGAAGAACTATATTATTTGCCTATATTAAATAACTTTTTATAGCTGTGAAACTGTTCTCTTGTGTCTTGTTGCCATGGTACAAATATAATCTGAAAAATTTTATAAAAATGAGGCTTTTTAGCATTTTTTTCAAAATAGGGATTTATTATAAAAATGATACAAACTGACTTTTGATCATTCACAACTTATGAAAAATTTTAAGCAATCTGTATCCTCCCTCCAAAATAGTGTTTTCTGCCTTTACAGTCTTCACTGGCAGTACATTCAGATGGTATAGAAAATAACTCACAAACATTCCATATAACTTTGTCCCTACAGTAAATCATTTTTAAAAACTTCATCAAGTTTCACTGTTACTGAAATTAGTTATAGACAGAAAGGATTACAGAATAAACAGTAAATGGTCACCTGCACTGAATTTTTCAAAGCAAAAATCATGTTATATTTTGTATGTTGTTTTATCCTGCTCCAAACACTTAAAGCAAAAATTAAAGATTTTTCCAGTTACCTGAAACTTCAAAAATCTATTGTACTTTGAAAAACTTTAAAAAGCAGCATCATTTAAATAGTGGTTAATTCACAAATGTATATGCAACAACATTCACCAACCCTAATTTCACTCAGGCCTGCAGAGTCACCAGCTCACAATAATTCAGTGCTCTGAAAGCTGAGGAAAAAGCCCCCGAGTAGTAAGCACACAACCCAGGGTGTTCAGGTGCTTTCTTGTGGTGAAACAAGGGTGTCAAAACTGAGGGGACTCTCCAATGAAAAGCAGCTCCACTAAACATCGGAATCCTTTTGACTCCATCCTCATCACTTTAAAACATAGGTGGTACAAAGGCTTCATACAGAAATTACTGAAAACTGTATTTTACACTAATGCTAACACAGATAATTGAGCAGAAAGAACTAAGAAGTACAAATTTTTCTAAGGTTTTCTTAATGGCAATGCAGACTTTTTTCTTTTGAGCTGGAGTCTCGCTCTGTTGCCCAGGCTGGAGTACAGTGATGCAATCTTGGCTCACTGCAACCTCCACCTCCTGGGTTCAAATGATTCTCCTGCCTCAGCCTCGCGAGTAGCTGGGATTACAGGCAACCACCACCATACCCGGCTAATTTTCAAATTTTTAGTAGAGACGGGGTTTCATTATGTCGGTCAGGCTGTTCTCAAACTTCTGACCTCCCGCCTTGGCCTCCCAAAGTGCTGGGATTACAGGTGTGAGCCACTGTGCCCGGCAAGCAATATAGATTAAGATGGGGTTATTTCCTAAAAACAAATATAATCCATATGTCATCTAATGTGGTTTAAATTAAAGATCACCTGTTGACACTATTTTAAAAGGCCTTGAAGGAAAAAGGGGGCCATTATTTTGAATATAAATAAATCATTCTTATAAAATTCTATTATCTATATAAATTGGCCTATTTTGAAATAATTTAGCTATTTCAATTACCATTTTAAGCAATAAAAGGCAAAAACAAAGGGAACCTACTGAATTGTACACTTAAAAATGAATAAGGTAAATTTTTTTGTGTATTTTATCACAATTTAAGAATTTTTTTAAATACTGAAAAAAAACAGGTTAACTTTTAGATAATGTGTAATACTAACAAGGACATACAATTAAGTAATCAAACTGCTTTTAGTAAGAAAATAAGTTTTTTTTTTTTTTTGAGACAGGGTCTCTGTCACCCAAGCTGGAGTGCAGACACACAATCATGGCTCACTATAGCCTCAAACTTCAGAGCTCAAGGGATTCTCCCATTTCAGTCTCCTTGGGAGCTGGGAGTAGGCATGTGCCACCATGCCCAGCTAATATTTTAATTTCTTTTTGTAGAGATGGGGTCTTGTCATGTTGCCCATGTTAGTCTCAAACTCCTGGGCTCAAGTGATCTTCCCACCTCCTCCCACTTTGGCCTCCCAGTATTGGGATTACAGGCATGAGCCACCATGCCTGGCCTGCTTCTTATTTTGTATTCCAAAATTCAAAGTCCCAAGTATCAAATCCCTAAATTTCCAAACACTGTCACAAATAAAGACTCAGTACAACACTAAAATAAACTACCTCCCCAAGATTAGATAGATTCAGGTGAGAGACTTGTTTTAAGGGGTTATAAAAAGAAACACCAGGGCTCTGCAGGAGAATCAGTTTTTAATTTTTTGTAATGTATCTATTTAATGGAATAAGTTGATCATAGATTTGTAAACCAAAAGGTAATTTCTCAAATATTTGGAAATAAAGAAAAGCTTCCCTACCATAACTTTTTGGTCATCTTTCTCATTCTCTTAGAATAATCCTAATCCCCTAGTATACCCTTACCATATATCCGTAAGGGCACCATAATATTATGCAAAGCACAGATATATATGCCTGATCTTTTATTAGACTTGCACCAGAGATTGGTGAAGCACTTCGGGCATGAACGCCAAAGCTGAGGCACACTGACCAACCCCCTGGGCATCTATAAAAGCAGGGGTGTTCTCTCTCCAGCTGGCTGCTCCTTCTGGAAGAGCTCTTTGATCTGGGTTAATCGGCCATAGAGCCTCTCTCTCAAAGGAGGAATGTGGTAGCTAGGGTCCAGAATATTTGTCACTCGGCGCTCTCTTTCTTGCTTCCATAACTTATATGGATGGGGAGGGAAGAATGGTCGTCCTCTCTCTCTTCGAATCTGTAACGTAATTCCACTTACAGCCAGCATGCCCCATACTGCCAGGATAATAAAGTCTAAAAAAAACAGTAGAAAAGTAGTTTGAACTCTAGTATTTTAAAATCTAACATAATAACACAACTCTCATGGACTAAATCTGTATCTTCCTTTCTAATAGACTTTCTGGTAAGTTAGCCCAAACGCGTATGTAGTTCCTCACTTACAAACCAAGGAATCAGTGGGGAAGCCACAGTCTTATTTTTGAAACTAGGAATTTTCTATTACAAGCATTTGAAAGTCCAGACAGATTGTAAAAGAATCAGTTGTTTGGATCCTTGGCCTTACAACATGTATGTAACAAGTACCCACAGTTGTTTGCGTGTTTTTCAGAGGGGGTTCAGGGAGGAAGGCAGTGATCTAGTTATACTTCACATATGTACATCATGGAACATCAGATGCCACCATGCTCATTTCTTTCCCATTCCACTCTGTATGGGACCCTATTGCACTCACAGAGTAGGTACAGGAATGCATGGAAAGATTCAACCAATCGTACTCAGCTTCTAGTAAAAGGCTTGGCAAAACACTGGTACTGAGAAGTTGGGAGAGTTTTAAGGTTTTCGAGGATTTCAAGGTCTCTACCTTCAACCTCTTATCCAAAGGGAAAGCTCTAGATAGTAGAGGGAAAGATCTACCGTAAAATAAAATCGTAACAATCACAATTGTCATGTATCTTCAATTCTAAGACATGCTTTTTCACTCTCCATATTTTAACATTTCTAAAGTCAACATATCTTACAATCTGTGAACATTTCATGTGGTAGTCATTTTTTTTCTTCAAAAATTTTATAGAAAATCGAATGGATAGAATCCTACAAGTGAGGGACACTACAGGCTTACTAATCAAAAGCTCTTTCAACTAGCAAATTGCATGCTTCATTAAAGGGAGGGAAACAAGGGAATAACTTAAAATTAAATCAGGTTGTCATTCTCATCCCTCATTCCACCCCCACCCATAAGTGTCAAACGTATTTACTGTTAGCATTTTTCTCCCCACTGAGAATGACCAGGTAAACCTAAATAATCTTGGAAATTTCTTAGTGAAATTCATCTAGTAGATTTTTATCATCATCTTAAAATTTTAAATGCCTTGTTCCCATAATCCTAAGTTATCATAACGGAGGGCTCTCAAAGCACTGTATGCTGTGTTTCCTTCTTTTGTCCCAGCTGACTTTCTTTAAATCTAGTTCCCAAGTGTTCTGGTTAGCACAGGTGGGTCAAGACTCTTACTGTGCTGTCACACTGGTTTTTGGATTTAAGAGTCTTACCATTAGTTTGAAAAGGCACATTTGTGAAAGCTCTGCTGAAATCCTTGTTGAGTGCTCTCTTGAGTACATTCAAAGTGACGTAGGAAAGGCTTGTGGACAAGTAACTGTCAATGGCTAAAACCACCGAATAGGAGCCAATGACTCCACAAGTCAGTATGTTCAGCTGTGGAAGAGTGGAAGAGTTTAGGCATCATCCCTGGTAAAACGAAAGTCATTTCTAACTGTCCACTGGCTTCAATGACAGGCAATCACTTCTGCTCCCTCAGGCATGAAAAGGGACCAGACCCACTCTGAGAGCTGAACAGAATTTCCCTGGAAAGATAAACTGAAAACAACCTTCAACATCCATATGAATTCTTAAAACACAGTTCAGCGTGTCCAAATACTATGGAAATATCTTCCCTGCGAAGGAACTTCAACAATAAACCTAATTAGATGAAGAACCACTCTTGTGATGCCAGCTGAAACTAATGACCCATTGGGTTGGTGGACTAGAGTAAGCACTACATTCTCTGCTCCTACTGTTAAAAGCATATGCCATTTGGTGGAAGAAAAAAAAAAAAACATCATGTGATAATCACAAATAGAACTTCCTTTGCTTTCATAGTAACAAGGCTATTTAGAAGCAGTCATCTGATAGAAATAACACAGTCCTCCCCAGTGAATAAAACATGCAAAATGATGAAATAAGTGATCAGCTGAACACACAGGATAACATAATGAATAAATCTAACTTTTGATGAGACACTTACTATTCTTAGGCAGCCCATGAAAACTACTGGAATGAGGATAGCTATGCAAGAGAAAGTGACCCAGAATACACCATCGTCGTGAAAAATCTTTAGGTTTCCTGAAAAAGCAAAAAGAAACTAAGAGTAAACAACAGCTTTACCAAGTTAGACTTCATTTCTTGGAACATCCAAACACACATATACATCAAAGGCTTAAAGTAACAACCAGGAAATATGTTGGCAACTAGAAATGAATTCTGATTTTCTTCATTTAACTGTCAATCTTCTTTGAAGGAATGTGTTCTAGAAAGTGGGTGGGTCGGGGGGAATCAAGCAGGTAAACGCTCTGCATTTATTAACAGAATAATTTAGAAGAGACTGGCATAGTCCAAGCTCTTCCATTCACTAGCTCTGTGACCTTGAGCCTCAGTTTCCTAACCCTCAAAATGAGATTGAGTTATATTATCTCCAAGCTCTAAATCACCCCTTTTAGTGCTACATTTCTGACTTCATGATTTTGTACTGCAAAATAAAGAATACAAATAAAGGCTCTCGAAGTTAAGCCATGAACCCACTGTAAACAGCAAATCCACTTAACAGATTTTTACCATCAAAGCATATCCTACATGCCACTGCACACTGTGACATGTGATTTCCTCATGTATCAGAAAGGAGGAACCAACCAAACCATCTGCTCTTCCCAAACCCTTCTCTGCTGCTGGACTTCAAAATGCTGCACAAATTTTCTGACCCAGAACAAATATATGAGAACTCCTCTTTATAAGTTAAGTTTAAAAAGCAAGAATAGCCTGACTGCTGTTTAATACTGACACTGGCACCACCATTCAGTCCATAAGACCTACATGTTCCATGTCAGAGTGAGAATCTCTAAGCTACAGGATTGGACCTTGAAACTCCATATTCTCTGAAGCCAACAGCAACATGCCATTGAGGTGAACCTACAGATTATATTCTCTAGTTTAACTATATTAACCTTCACAAAATATATATGTGGCTTTATTTTTAAAAAAAAAAAAGGCTTTCAAGAAATCGAGGGATTGAAAATAGTTAATGATGCATGCATGTGAAGAATGGACTCTTTCAGAGTATAAGCTCGTCGCTACCCACATAAAGTAGAAATTAGTAACCTAATCAGAACAGAGAGGTCAGCCAAATATTTTTCAAATGTTAATGCTTAAAAATATGGGTAGGCCTCTTGGCTGGGTGCAGTGGCTCACGCCTGTAATCCACGCCCTTTGGAAGGCCAAGGCGGGCGGATCATTGGAGGTCAGGAGTTTGAGACTTGCCTGACCAACATGAAGAAAGCCAGTCTCTACTAAAAAATATAAAAGTTAGCCGGGTGGGGTGGTATGTGCCTGTAATCCTAGCTGCTCAGGAGGCAGAGGCAGAAGAATCACTTGAACTCTGGAGGCAGAAGTTGCAGTGCACCAAGATTGCACCACTGTACTCCAGACTGGGATACAGAGTGAGACTTTGTCTCAGAAAAAACGTGTGTGTGTGTGTGTGTGTGTGTGTGTGTGTGTATGTGTGTATGTGTGTGTAAATATATGTATATATGTATGTGTGTGTGTGTGTGTGTGTGTATATATATATATATATATATATATATATATATATAGAGAGAGAGAGAGAGAGAGAGAGAGAGAAGGTGCAGTGGCTCAAGCCTGTAATCCCAACACTTCAGAGGCCAAGGTGGGAGGACTGCCCGAGCCCAGTTTGAGACCACCCGAGACAACATAGTGATTCTGTCTCTACTAAAAATAAAAAAACTGTAGTTCCAGCTACTTGGGAGGCTGAGGTAGGAGAGTGGCTTGAACCTTGAAGTTAGAGGTTGCAGTGAGCTATGACAGTACCACTGCAGTCCAGCATGGGTCACAGAAAGAGACCCTGTCTCTAAAAAATAAAAACATATGTTTGGACCCACGAGCATTGTGATGCTCACCCTAACTGTCCTTGCGCTATGAGATAGTTCATAAATAAACATATATAAAGAGCATATGCTAAAATTATTTTTACCAATAGGAATAGTATGTCAACAAGTTTAGAGACAACCTGCTCTAGGCTACTTTTATGAAGATGAAAATTAAGAGACCTCTCTATTTCTATTTTCTCATTCCTCACATCTATCCCATGAGATAGTTTCACAGATGGTGGAACAAAGTTTCAATACCTTGTCCAAGGTTATAAGCTAGTAAGGGAACTAGTGACAGAGCCAGAATGCATATAGAGGGTTTTCTTTCACACTTTACAATTTATGCTCATTCTACTCATGAAAAGCACATTAATTACTAGAAATTCTAACCTATCATTCCTGTATGCTCTAAGCATTAACAAAAGTGGGGAAGCCCAGTAAATGGTATTTGGTTTTTGTGGTCTTTTTGTTTTTGAGACAGGGTCTTGTTCAGTCACCCAGGCTGGAGTGCAGTGGCACCATCATAGCTCACTTCAGCCTCAACCTCCCAGGCTCAGGTGATCTTCTGGCCTCAGCCTCCCAGGGTAGCTGAGACCACAGGCATGTACTACCACACCTGGATAATTTTTTTATTTTTAGTAGAGATGGGGAATCACTATGTTGCCCTGGCTGTCTCAAACTCCTGAGCTCAAGCAATCCTCCCAGTTGGTCTCCCAAAGTGCTGGGATTATAGGCATGAGCCACTATGCCCAGCCATTAAGTAGTAGTTTATTTAGCACTTCTAGGATACAGCCTTGAATCTGTATTTTCAAAAACATCCCCATGTGAATCTGTCATTTAGCCAAGCCTAAACAACACTGCTTTTCATCAGACTGTCCAGATAAAAGGCTACCTGTAGCAGGGCCAGGAGGAATATGCTTGGCTCCAGTTTTGCTAAAGTTAGAACAAAGGGCCTTGGATAGACAGTAAACACAGGTTGTCAATTCTTTGTGGTCTTAGAAAAAAAAGTCTTCAGGGAGACAAGGGACTTGTACTCTATTATAATCTCCTGCATTCTCTAGAGTTGACAGCCTCATGAAATGGCTATTTTAATATCTAACAGTCCCATCAACTTTATTCTAATATTTGAAGAACATTATGGCAGAAAGGAAACAGCCAAATAGAGTACTTTTGAATACAGATACTCTTTTTGTTTTTGACAACAATCAGGAAATGTAACTTATTAAACAATGGCAAAGAAAGTTAACTTGTAAGTTAACCACATGTAAAAAACTGATAGCAATTGAATTACTTCTTTTAAAACACCAAAAAAAACCCTAGAACCATCCCTGTGCTACAGCCCCAGGGTGATGAGGTACCTCAGCGACACCTGGGGTTTGAGAGGGTGGGAGTAGAAGTTGAGGGTACAAGAGAAGACCAGAAACAAATAATCAGGTTCCCCAACTCAGCTGCCATCAGAGCAGTGCCCCTTTACCTCCATTATTTCTAATCAACACACACACCCCCTTATCACAACAAACAGATACAAAGCTAACTCTAAAGACATTCTATATTTCATCTAATGTGCCTGTGAGGAAGGAGGGACTCCTACTGGTTTTGGTGCTGTCTGGAAGTGTCACACCATCAGTGCAGATTTCCAGAACTCCACAGGAAAATCATTGACATGCGACACCACTCCAGGATGCAAATCCAATTAGACAGTATTCAAACAGTGACTCAGACACGCAAACCATCAGTTACATGTCGCCTACCCAGTGGAGTAAAGAAAGTCACTGACGAGATGAGGAACCCCAGCACTAGTCCAACACAGAGCATGCAGATCGAGAGGATTCCACATCGCCACCACGCAGCTACCAAGAACATTCCACCGACGCTTCCAGCGACAGCTGTCAGAATCAGACGCACTATACAAAGAAAGAGGATGAACTGCTGGATCACCAGTAGTACTTCCAATCGCATGCCCTAGACACACAATACCGTTAACAGCGACAGCTTCAGCTTTCTTTAGGTCAGGCACTGAGGGCTCTTCAGTGGTGCCATGAAGCCAGCACAGAGCAACCCTCTCTAGAGAGGGGTCTGCGCTGAGACAAAGAAACTAGCCAGGGAGCTAAAACCCCACAGGACCAGTAAGAGGCTTGGCTTGTCAATAAATTGGGGTTGAGGAAGAAAAGGTGACAAGCATTCTGTTAAATGTAATGGGGTGGGGGGGGTGTCTGTTTTTAGGTAAAGAAAACTTCAACATTTTGCTTGTTGTACATCTCATATCTTCAACATATCACATAGCCAAATCACAGATTTATAATCGATATGGGCCCTCCTTTCCCTAAGTACCAAGGAATTCATCATACAGATTAAAAACCCAGAAGGTCTGAATGAGTAGTTCAGAAAAGATGTTCAGAGCGTAGGTAGACCATTATTTTACACACACAGGCCAAACTGCAGAAGGAAACGTACAGTAAAACATGGCACCTGCCTTCTTGAATACCCAATTAAACTATGTAATTTTCACTTACCATCATACTTGATAGGTGTAAGTCTTGTAATCAGTATATAAAAGAAGAATCCCATGATGATAAAGCCTATGAAGAATAATTCTAAGTGGCAAACCACCAGGAAAGGAAAAAAGCAAAACAACAAAAGCTATGGTTAGGCACCTTTTTTTACAATGCAATTTAAATATTTAATCTACAAATACATGCTTAAGCTTCTGGAATTTACATATTACAGCATTCAGAGAAAAAAAGTTGTCTAAGGGGCAGAAGAAATTCAGCAGTCATGGGAGTAATTATTATTAAACAGATACAACATTAAAGTACTAACTACAGAATACACTTTCTTGTATATAGGTCAGTATCAATTGTTAAATTGTTATTTGTTCATTTCATAGCTCATTGTAGTATATTTATGTTTTCTGCTTAAAACAAGAATAGCGCTTTTGTCATTTGTGTCTAATCTGAAATTACACACTAAATTTGAATAGTTTTGTAAGCATAAATAAAACGTAAAAAGAAACCCAAACTGTTCCAAAGCAAAATATAACTTTTATATCTTCTTTAAATTCATCCTATCCTGCTTAGAATGATCACTCATTACCTTCATCCATTAAAACACCTGGTAATGTAAGCATACAGATAACTCTGTTCCCACAAATAAGCCTAATCCTGATCATGGAAGCCATAGCTCCAACTATTAAATTCTTCACAGTTGTTTTTGGTAATGCTTGTACTGTATCTCAATTTCAATAAATACAAAATTATACATATCAACATACCAAAAAAACTTAGAGTGGGGCATGGTGGCTTGTGCCTGTAGTCTCAGCTACTTGGGAGGCTGAAGAGGGAGGATCAGTTGAGGCTAGGAATTTGAGGCTGTAGTGCACTATGATTGTACCTGTGAACAGCCACTGCACTGCATTCCAGCCTAGGAGACATAGTGAGATTCCATCTCTTAAAAAAAAAAAAAAAAAGAAAAAAGCTAGTGATAACTTTGAGTCTACAGGTTAGCAACTAAGCTCTTTGTTACAGAATCATCCCACATGTTGAGGTATTATATATTCTTCACAATACTCTCTTCCCAGTTTAAAAAAAAAAAAAAGTATCATAATAGTGGGAAAGGAGTTGCTATTTCAAACAACTTAACACAAGTTTAAAGAGCTTTATTAGATCAAGATTACATTTGCTCTACCTTTGCTACTCAGTTATACACCTGGTTGATTAAACAAGTTTTTTGTTTTTTTTTTGAGACAGAGTTTCGCTCTTATTGCCCAGGCTGGAGTGCAATGGTGCAATCTTGGCTCACTGAGACCTACACCTCCTAAGTTCAAGCAATTCTCCTGCCTCAGCCTCCCGGGCAGCTGGGATTATAGGCATCCATCACTACACCCAGCTAATTTTTTGTATTTTTTTTAGTAGAGATGGGGTTTCATCACGTTGGCCAGGCTGGCCTCAAACTCCCGACCTCAGGTGATCCACCCGCCTTTGGCTTCCCAAAGGGCTGGGATTACAAGCGTGAGCCACTGTACCCGGCCAATAAGGATTTTTTAATAATCGAAAACATCACTTATATAAAAGGCAGCCCAAATAATTCAAACCAATTCAGTGAGCACAATTTACATCCCAGTCCTTCAGTGTGTTTCACTGATGTGGATGCGGGCGTTCCCTTTGGAACCTGAATCTGCTCAGGTCTGAGCAGATTCAGGTACACATTTCAAATTCAGTGTACACTGCAGCCCTGCAGGCTGATTTATATGAAACTAAGTCAGTCGCCATCATAAAAACCCACATGTATTTTTACAAAGACAACCAAGTTCTTTCTTTTTTTTTCATTCTTCTTTATTTTTGGAGACAGGGTCTCACTCTGTCACCCAGGCTGGAGTACAGTGGCACGATCTTGGCTCACTGCAACCTCTGCCTCCCAGGCTCAAGCAATCCTCCCACCTCAGCCTCCCCACATAGCTGGTACTACAGGCACACACCACCATGCGCGGCTAATTTTTTTGTATTTTTGAAAGAGACCGTCTCGCCATGTTGCCCATGGGCTTGAACTCCTGAGATCAGGCAATTGACCTGCTTCAGCCTCCCAAAGTGCTGGGATTATAGGTGTGAGCCACAGCATCCAGCCCCAATTTTTCTTTCATTTCTTGGTAGAGAAGGGGGTCTCACTATGTTGCCTAGACTGGACTTAAACTCCTGCCTCACACAGTCCCCTCACCTCAGCTTCCCAAAATGCTGGGATTACAGGCATAAGCCACTATATCCAGCCCTGACAACCAATTTATAATCTCAGTTATCATTAGTCAACTAACAGATCTAGCAGCTGAAAAAATACACTGCATAATTGTATTCCACTGTTAATAAGAGAAGGTTGTACTCTAGGGAGAATAGAAAAGAATAAAAATGCAGTGCAACTCAGTAGACTCATGACTACAAGACCCCAGCCACAAATCTATGAAGATAGTAGAAATAAGTAAGTGCTTACTCTCCTCATTCCCCGGCAACATTAAAGAGAAAAGACAACAAAGATGTAAATAGCAACTACACTGGACATAATACCTGTTTTCCAGAATCTGTGTCCAAAGAAACAAATGAAGAAACCAAGCAGGGCAAAAAGAGTGAAGAACACTTTGGAAGACACTCTTCCTACAAAATAATGAAAATTTAGTGGATAATACATTGAATTTGATACTTTGTATTAATATTTATAGAACAAACCTTCATCAAAAAAGCTAAGTGAACTGATGTCATTTATCCCATACATTTACATTACAAATTTATTTTTAAAACCCCCTTGCCACCCCTAATGAATGAACCTCTGTAGACAATATCAAAAACTGCCGCTGTATCAAAAAGAGAATCCAGACATTATATGCTTGCTGATAGAGATATGGAACACTTCCTATGACATATTCCTGGGTAGAGTGGGGAGGAACAGAGAGAGAGTGTTCCCAACACAAATAATCCTGTTTCTTCAACAAATAAACTGCATGGACAAAAGGTGTTGGGGGGTGGAGGGGAGGCAGTGGGGGTGGATGGAGGGAGAATACAGATTAAAAGAGGTTTAAAAGACACATCAACTAAATATTATGTATCTATCTCATCTGAAACCTGATTCAAGCAAACAGTGGAAAACAACTGAGATGACTGCAGAAACAAACACTGGCTGTTAATTTGATGCTATTGAATTATTTTCCATATTTTAAAATGAAAATTATGTTAATGACACTGTGGTTCTATTTTTTTAAGTGCTTATGTTTGAGGTATACATACTGAAATATTTGTGAGTAACATGATGACCAGGGATTTGCTTTAAAATAATCCAGTGATAAAGGAAGGTGATGAGGTGGAGAGGCAAAGCAGCAGGTGGAGCACAGCTGAAACAAGATAACGGCCATGAATCAAAATTGTTAAGGCTGGATAATTGGTATATGGAGGCTTGCTGAAGTTTTTCACAATAAAAAATGTAAACTGAAACTCACATTACAATTTAAAAACATGTATTACACTTAAAAGTCACACATACACAAATTACTACCAGTCTTATCAATTACACATACTGCCTTGGAGGAAAACATTGCATTACAACCAATGAAGCACTGTATCATTTAGTTTCCTGAAGAGAAAAAACATGCTCACTAAATTCATCACCCACCATCGTGACTCCTTAAACTCAAGGAAATAACTGAACTAAAACCAAAACCAAAACATCTATACAATCTCACGTTGAAAATATAACAAGGCTGCCACAAATCAAAATATATAAGATGACTCAGAGTTCTCAGAATGGAGAAACCATGAAGACATACAGTAAAATAAGAAACACAAGACAGAAGAGCAGAATTTGCAGGGCATAGTATATACCTACATATCAGCTTGTCTGAGAATAAGGAGCCCATAAGAAAGATTAAACGACGGCCAGGTGTGGTAGCTCACACCTGTAATCCCAGCATTTTGGGAGGCTGAGACGGGCAGATCACTAGAGGTCAGAAGTTTGAGACCAGCCTGGCCAGCATGGTGAAACTCCATCTCTACTAAAAATACAAAAATTAGCCACGCCTGGTGGGACATGCCTGTAGTCGCAGCTACTCAGGAGGCTGAGGCAGGAGAATTGCTTGAACCAAGGAAGCAGAGGTTGGCCAAGATCAGGCCATTGCACTCCAGCCTGGGAGTCACAGTGAGACACCATCTCAAAAAAAACCAAAAAACAAAAAACACACATACACACAAAGATTAAATGAAAGATAAAAACACCACATTCTGTTTATTTCAAACCCTTGGCTATCTTTCTAGGATTTAATTTTTACACCAAAACCATTGAATTCACTGGGTTGATTTTCTCAAACTAAAATCCAGTGGAACTTTTCAGCAAGTACAATCACCAAGACAGCAAGGTCTTCCAACCCAATGAAAACTAAGACACGGTTACGTATACGTATTCTTCCCTAACATCAGAGGGAAACTAAATCCCCTATCACAGTACCAGGAAGGAGGGAGAGAAACAAGTATACAAGTAAAATATGAGAGCATGGAAGGTTTCATAGAAAGCAGAATCTAAGATAAGACATAAAACAGGCAGTCACTTTGGGGAATGAAAAAAGTGAATAGGACAGAAGCAAGTCGAAGGCTAAGGTGTCTTTAATTATGACAGTATTGCTAAGGGTTATGAACTACATGCCAAGGTTTTAGTTGGGAGGCAATATGGATATAGCCTCCCTACTCAAAGCTAGGGAAAAACACCCTAGTACTCATCAAGCTTAAAAATGAAAGTAACAATAGAACCAACATCACTAGGAAGGTTCAACTTTGGGTGAGAAGAACAACTGGCTCAGAGCTCTCTGTCTCCTAAGGCTAACAGAGAGAGGCAGGCCTGGGGGGTTTCTATTTAGAAGGGGCTTCCACATGAAAGGTTCAGGGGAAAGAAATGGAGGAACCCAGACATACTTCAGTCCATCGGTTAAAATTACAGGGCCAAGTGCAGTGGCTCATGCCTGTAATCCCAGAACCTTGGGAGGTTGAGGCAGCTGGATCACTTGAAGCCAGGAGTTCAAGACCAGTCTAGTCAACAAGGTGAAACCCCATCTCTACTAAAAATACAAAAATTAGCTGGGCAAGGTTGCACACACCTGTAGTCCCAGCACTTTGGGAGGTCGAGGTGGGCTGGTCACCTGAAATCAGGAGTTCAACGCCAACCTGGCCAACATGGTGAAACCCCTGTCTCTACTAAAAATACAAAAATTAGCAGGGCATGGTGGTGCATGCCTATAATCCCAGATACTCTGAACTCTGGAGGCTGAGGTATGAGAATCACTAGAACGCCGGAGGTGGAGGTTGCAGTGAGCCGAGATCGCACCACTGCACTCTAGCATGGGTGACAAAGAGTGAGACTGTGTCTCAAAAAAAAAAAAAGTACACACACACATCAACTTATATCTGCCTAGGTATCTTCCACTGTATACCTCAAGGATCTTGAGTGGAAGCTGTTTTGAGTGGAAGACTGAATGGTGACAAAGAGCCTTTGCTTGGCAAAACGTCAGTCTCCTGAACCCCTTCCTAGGCCCATTTGTGCACATTTTTGTAAAATCCAGCTTCACCTAGAACTGATAAGCCAGCTTAGCAAGAATCCCCTATGCTTGATATCAAATCACCCTCTATATCTGATTGGGTTCTTCATCCTCCACCATCCATCCCCCAGATGATGTCTGACCACCCTGGTCTGTCTTCAGTAAGAATCCCCTTAGGTCAGTGTAGACAGAATGTCTCCTTACTCCTCATGTTTCCTTTTAGAAATTTTTCATCCGCTGGCTCCCATCCTGATCCTTGGCTATACATTCCCACTAGCCCATGCTGTACTCAAGAGTTGAGCCCAATCTCTCTTCTCCACTGCAAAATTCCATCACAGTGGTCCCTATGCCTATTGCAGTACTACCCCCCACATTGAATAAAATCTTCCTCACTGTGCTTTAACCAGTGTCACTGATTTTTTTTTCTTTAACAGTGAGATATAGCTCTAGCAAAGGTGTGGGGGGAATCATAATCCCTGGCTTGAATACAACTAATAGACTTTCTTCTTTAGAGCATAACTCCATGAAACAGCTACTTGAACTTTCTCTAATTTCTGTGCTCCTAGCTCCTATTTGTTCTTGAATATGCTCTAGTCAGGCTCCTAACCCAACTTCTCCACTGCAGCAGCTCTCACTGGTAACCAATGGCCTCCATGTTGCTAAATCCAAGGGTCATTTTAAGTATCTTACTTAGCTGACCTGTCAGTAACATCTGCCACAGTTGATCACTCTCTCTTCTGTGCAACACTATCTCCCCTTGGCTTCAACAAACACCATTTTCCTTTTACCAGTGTGGCTGCTGCTTCTAGGACCATTGGTAGGATCTTCAATTTCCTGAGCTCCAAATATTGGGGCACCCAACGATCAGTCCTCAGATCTTTTCTCCAAGTCACACTGAGTGTGCCTGCCTCTCCTGCCTCCCCTTCTACCTCTTCATAGATATACCATCTAGCCTGAGGCCTTAAATGCCATATATTTAATCTGAAGATTTCCTAGATGCCCTCCAGCAAAAACTTTCCTCTGAATTCCAGACTTATATAATCAACCATCAGTTAAACATCTGCACATACACATTCAATAGATTTCTCAAACTGAACATGTCTAAAACTGAACTCCTAATGTATCCTCCGAACCTTCTCTTCCGACAGTCCTTCCCACCTCTGCGAATGGTCACTCTCTCTCTCCAGTTGCCAAAACTACAGTCCTTTTCACTTCTTTCTCCCAAATCCCTCATGCAATCCATCAGCACACTCTACTCCAAAATATATCCAGCCACTCATGAGCCAAACCAGTTCACTCATGAACATGAAATAAATGATGGTGACAGATTTCATCCAGAGAATAAAATAGGAATCTACAGATCCAGGCTTATATAAATACATGGATAAATAAATGGCAGGGGAGGGAAAACTCTTCCTTAGAGTAGAATGGCAACAAATAAACATAGAAGGAGTGATACGTTAGAAAAACACCATTTGGCAACCATCTAGTAATAAATGTTTCAGGCAAAGATCACTGGATGCCAAAATTAGCAAGTGAGAGTTTGAGAATGGGATATTTACCGAGGCTCAAAGTATCTCCCCTAAAGATACTCAAAGGAGGAAACAGTTACTTCACTGTGGAAAAACTTGACAAGACACCACTAACCAACTTATCAAGGGTGTCACCACCAGTAAAGAGACAAATATTAATTGTCTCCTGAGAAGGACACATCACTTCCTTTGTATTTCTGCCAAAAAGGCATAATCAAAATTTAAGTATGAGGAAATATCAAACTAACCCAAATTGAGGACATTCTAAAAAAAAAAATAAATATTCTGTACTTCTCAAAAAGGTCAAGGTCTTAAAAGATTAAAATTAAACAAAAAGAGACTTGATCCAAATTATAGCACTCTGAAGAGACACATCAGCTAAATCCAATGTGGGATCCTAAATTGAACCGTGGACAGGGCAAAAAAAAAATTGTTGACAGGAAGACAGGGTCTCTCACTCTGTCGCCCAGGCTGGAGTGCAAGAGCACAATCACGGCTCACTGCAGCCTGGACCTTCCTGGGCTCAGGTGATCTTCCCACCTTAGACTGCCAAGTTGCTGGAACCAAAGGCATATGCCACCACACCAGCTAATTTTTGTATTTTTTTGTAGAGATGGAGTTTTGCCACGTTGCCCAGGCTGGTCTCGAACTCCAGAGCTCAAGCAATCCACCCACTTGGCCTCTCAACGTACTGGGATTACAGGCATGCACCACCATGCCCAGTGAAAAAATACCTTTTTTTTGCTTATAAAGGACATTATTGGAACAACTAGTAAATGTGGTAACATGCGTGAATTAAATAACTACTGTATCAATGTTAACTTTATAATTTTGATAATTTTACTATGTTTATATAAGAAAATAAACACAGAAGTACTTAAGGTCAAAAAGGTCTCTATGCCTGCAACTTACTCTCAAATGGTTCAGAGAAAAGCTGTGTGTGTGTGTGTGTACATATCTATATACATAGTTGGCCCCTGAACAACATGGGTTTGAATTGCATGGGTCCACTTACATACAGACTTTTTTTTTCTTTTGAGACAGAGTCTTGCTCTATTGCCCAGGCTGGAGTGCAGTGGCAGCATCTCAGCTCATTCAAACCTCCGCCTCCCAGGTTCAAGTGATTCTCCTCTTTCTGCCTTCTGAGTAGCTGGGATTACAGGCATGCATCACCACACTCAGCTAATTTTTTGTATTTTTAGTAGAGATGGGGTTACCCCATGTTGGTCAGGTTGGTCTTGAACTCCTGACCTTGTGATCTGCCAGCCTTGCCCTCCCAAAGTGCTGGGATTACAGGTCACATACGCCCAGTCACATACAGACTTTTTTTCAGTAAGTCACACTGAATGTGCCTGCCTTTCCTGACTCCCCTCCCACTTCTGCCACCCCTGAAACAGCAACACCAACCCCTCCCATTCCTCCTCCTCTTACTATTCAACGTAAAAATGATGAAGATTAAGGCCTTTATGATGATCCTTTCCCACTTAGTAAATATATTTTCTCTTCTTTATGGTTTCCTTAATAACATTTACTTTTCTCTAGCTCATTTTATTGTAAGACTATAGCTTATGATAAATATAACATACAAAATATGTGTTAATCAAGTATTTATGTTATCAATAAGACTTCTCTGGTCAACACTAGGCTACCAATAGTTAAGTTTTTGAGAAGTCAAAAGTTATACATGGGCTGGATATGGTGGCTCATGCCTGTAACCCCAGCATTTTGGGAGGCCAAAGCAGGTGGATCACTTGAGGCCAGGAGTTTAAGACCAGCCTGGCCAACATGGTGAAATCCCATCTCTACTAAAAATACAAAAATTAGCTGGGGAGGGTGGTGTGTGCCCATTAATCCCAGCTACTCTGGAGAGTGAGGCAGGAGAACTGCTTGAACCCGGGAGGCGAAGGTTGCAGTGAGCCGAGATCACACTACTGCACTCCAGACTGGGCAACAAGAGTGAAACCCTGTCTCAGAAAAAAAGAAAAAAAAAGTTATACAGATTTTGAACCGCACAGGAGTCACCTCCCTCAACGCCTACACTGTTCAAAGGTTAATCGTACATAGAAAGACAAGAGAGAAGAGAGAATGAAAAGCAAATAGCCTAATACATCAACCTTTAAGGAATCTGGATGAAGATTATATAGAAATTCTTTATACTATTTTTGCATATTTTCTGAGAAACTATTTCAAGATTAACTGCTAACTACACCTACATATACACACACACCTCACAACACCTTTACTGCCTCCAGTCTACCTAACCCACTGTTCTCTCTCCCCTGGATTACTTCAGTGGCCTCCTAACCAATCTGTATTTCTGCTCTTGCCCCCATCTCTTCTCAAAAAGCGGCCAGTGATCCCATTAAAATATTAGATTACGGCACCATTTGCTCAAAACCTTCCAATGCCTTTCCCTTTCGTTCAGAATGGAAGCTAAACCCCATACTAAGACCTACAAGGCCACACACGAGCTGCCTGCCCCCACACCTCTCGTCTCACCTCTACTCCTCTTGCCCTCCTCTTTCTCCTCCACCCCTGCCTGTCCTCACTGTAGTTCTTCACACCCTCAGGCAGGCTCCCAGGCACAGGCCCTCGTCCTGGCTGCTCCAGCTGCCTGGTACATGCCACACCCAAGTACGTGTGTGGCACAGCAAGGGCTGCCCTGGCCATGTAAACTATGTTGAATTTTTCTCTTACTGGTGCATATTATCTCCCTTTCCTACTTTATTTATCTTATTAGCAATCACCATTTTCTCATGTGTTACATATTTTATAAATTTATCTGTCTTGTCTCCCTCACTATAATATAAGCTGCAGGAGGACAAATATTGTTGCTGTTTTGTTTACTACTGTGTCCTAGTGCCTAGAACAGAGAGTGGAATAGTATAGGGGCTCAAAAGGTATGTGTTAAATGAATGAATGAGAACTCAACAAAAACATTTTTGAATATTCTTAAATTCTACATTAGTAACATAAATCTGCAAGGCCAAAGAATTTGTAAAAGTTTAAATCCATGTACTCACCTAGGGAAGCACAACTATCCTCTCCTGCCTCAAAGCTGCAAGCATATGTGTGAACAGGAACGTACGCAGCAGATGTATTTAGAAATGGGTCCCAAACAATGACATTGTATATGACACCTTGTCCCGGGAGGGATGAGAAGGAAACGCTTGTCTTATCATTCGCAGTTAGGGTAACCACCTGAAGCCAAAAATAATACATGATTAGTGTTTAGGTAATTTTTTAAAGCTATTCTATGATAACCCCACCTATGTGTAATATTAAATGGTATATTTATAAATTATAATCATTGTTTAAAATATACACCAACCCATTTAATATGGTCAAAGGGCCATCTTACATGGTTTGTATATGCTAATGTAAACAAGTTCTTACACAAAATTCTTCCAAAGTTTTTTTTAATAGTTTAAGGAAAATGTGAAATAGATAATGCATAAATGCTAGTTAGGACAAAGTACAAAGTTTTTTCTCCTCTGCTAGACTATAAGCAAGGATGGGAACTGTATTTCTCTTCTGCACTGTTCTTTCCTCAGTATGCAGCCCAATGCCTATACAAAGGATGTGTTCAACATTAGCCACAAACTAATGTAGACAGTCTGTTAACATTTCACAGATAGTACCCAATTATTTTTGTCTAACAGTCTCTGAAACAAGAAAATATTGTATAAGGTTTTGGTATATAGTAGTTCTTAACTTCAGAAATTCCATTGTAAACTATAAACTAGAAGAAACAAATGCTTTATATAACAATACATAGATATGTTCCTACTAATTTGAGAAAAATAAATATTAGGGTTTCAGGAGTAAATAATGCTGAGGCCTCCTACATCAGACTATCATTGTTTAAATATACTGCTTAGCCTTCAAAAACTTGTTTTTTGGCAAAAGTCTGGTCAAGTTCAACAAACTGTTAATATTACTACCAAGTTGTCATGAAAAATTTTAACCAGACAGAAAATTTGAATGAATATCACAACAGACTATATACTGCCTATTATCAACAATTGTTATTATTTTACCGTATTTGCTTCTCTATCACTCCTTTCTCCCCATCTCTACTTTCTTCCCATGGAAAGTAAGTTACAGATACCATGACATTTCACTTCTAAACACATCGCTGTGCATATCCTACCACACTGTTTCTCAAATTTCATGTGCTTGTGAATCACAGGGGACAGTCTTGTTAAAATGCAGATTCTGATTCTTAGGGTCCCTGTGGTACCAGCAGTTCTGCTTTTCTAGCAAGCTCTCAGATGATGCAAATGCCATGCAACCACCTACCACACTCTGAGTAACAAGGTACTCAGTATAGATGTAAGTCTAAGTACAGACTTACAAGGGGGGTTACATCAGAATAAACCCAATGTAAGTCAAAAATGCATTTAATATACCTTGTCCACCGACCATCATGGCTTTAGCCTATCCTACCTTAAATGTGCTCAGAACACTTACATTGGACTCAGTTGAACAAAATCATCTAACACAAGGATTATGTTATAATAAAGTGTTTAGTTGCTCATGTAATTTATTAGCTGTTTACCTGTGTGGTCAAGTGGGAACTATGGCTCACTGCCACTGCTCAGCATTGCAAGAGTATCATACTGTATATTGCTAGCCCCGGAAATTACCAAAACTAAAAACTCAAATTGGAAGTATTGTTTCTACTGAATGCTTATTACTTTCTCACCATCATAAAATAAAAAACACCAGGAGAAATGCCTGATGTAGGTGACGGGTGTGTGGGGTGGGTGTATGTACCTATGCAACAATCCTGCAGGATGAGGATGTGTACATGTGCCCCAGAGCCCAAAGTACAATTAAAAAAAATTTTAAGTCAAACCGTCATAAGTCAGGGACCATCTTTATAAGAATATTCTCCTATATAACCACAATACCTTAGCTCACCTAAGAAACTGAATACTTTCTTTATTTTACTTTTTACTTTTTGAGATGGAGTTTCGCTCTTATTGCCCAGGCTGGAGTGCAATGGCGTGACCTCAGCTCACTGCAACCTCCACCTCCCGGGTTCAAGCGATTCTCCTGCCTTAGTCTCCTGAATAGCTGGGATTACAGCATGAGCCACCACACTCAGCTAATTTTGTATTTTTAGTAGAGATAGGGTTTCTCCATGTTGGTCAGGCTGGTCTGGAACTCCCAACCTCAGGTGATCTGCCTGCCTCGGCCTCCCAAAGTGCTGAGACTACAGGCGTAAACCACCACAGCTGGCCTGAAATGAATAATTTCTTATTAGCTAATACATAACCCATATTTTCCCTAATGTCTTTTTTTTTCTTTTTGAGACAAGGTCTCTCTCTGTCACCCAGGCTGGAGTGCAGTGGCATGATCTCAACTCACTGAAACCTCTGCCTCCCAGACTCAAGTGATCCTCCCACCTCAGCTTCCTCAATAGCTGGGACTACAGGCACACAGCACCACACCCAGCTACTTTTATTTTTTCTTAGTGGCTATATGGTTTTGCCATGTTGCCCAGGCTGGTCTCAAACTCCTGAGCTCAAGTGATCTGCCCACCTCGGCCTCCCAAAGTGCTGAGATTACAGGTGTGGGCCACTGTGCCTGGCCCCTAATGCCTTTTCTAGCTTTTCTCCTTTTCACCCAAGATCAAACCAAGTTCCACGCATGATGTTTATGGCCAATCTAAGTAATCTAGAGCAGTCTGTCCTACCTTTCTCTCCCAGCCACCCAATGACTATGGAAGAGATGAAGTCAGGTCAGTATTCTCACAAAATATTCCACAATCTGGATTTGTCAAATTGTGCTCAAGGTGTCTAACTAGTTCTTTTAACCCCCATATTTCCTGTAAATAGGGAATCCAATGGACTGAATTCAGGTTAGACATTTTTTTGCTAGAATATTCCAAGGTGATGGTGATAATGTCAGACTCCATTACATGAGCACATAATGCAGGCTGACCCATTTTCAGTGAAATTAGCTTTGCCCACTTGGAATAGGTGGACTATAAGGCCACTCCATTTAAAAGTGGTTCTCCTTTTGCAATGAGAATGAATCTAAGGATGCTACTTAGACACTCTGGAAACATCCTGTCCCCTAAAAACCTTTCACCTACTGATCCCTGCTTGAACTATTTCATTGAGGGTCACAAAATGGTGATCACCTAATTATATTATTCCTTCTACATATATTAGCTGGCACTCTTCTGCAAAGAGCTTTCTCTCAAACTGGGGAAGAATTAGTTCCTCCTTTAAAAAGGCAAGCTAAATTCCTTTATCAATTTTTAGAGTAATTTGGTGTAAGAGTTTCCTCCAGTGGTTGCAGCTGAGGAAGGTTTTGTTTTTATTTATTCAAGGCTGAAACCACAATCTTTTTTTTTTCTTGATTCTTGAATTGTCCCAAATTTGGGAGTGCAAGCCCCTTCAAACAGGCTCCTGAATCTCTTTGACATACCCTTATTAGTCTTTGAGGGTTTCCCCACATTCCGGCACAAAATATTGTTTTAACTAAAAGTTAAAAAGTAACCTAAAAAGAGCCTATTATACAAGTTCTTATATTCTTCATAAAAATAAAAATAGTACTAAAATGTCATATCTAATAAAGCAACTAATAAACTTTACTAACAAGAGCTTCTTATTTTGTGGATAAGCACAATGAAGGTGTCTAAAAATGTTCTACCCATCAAACATTAGACTGAAGGGTGACATCATATATTATATTTCTGTTAGGCACTTTTCAAGACATAAAGATAAAATCTCCCCTCCACAAAAATAATCTATTGCAGTACATCTCAAAATTTAATATGCAGAAGAATCACCTGAGTCACTCATCTTTTTTTTGTCACTCATCTTTTCTTTTCGAGTTGGAGTTTTGCTCTTGTCGCCCAGGCTGGAGTGCAATGGTGCGACGTCAGCTCACTGCAACCTCCACCTCTCAGGTTCAAACAATTCTCCTGCCTCAGTCTCCTGAGTAGCTAAGATTACAGGTATTCACCAACACGCCTAGCTAATTTTTATGTTTTTAGTAGAGACAGGGTTTCACCATGTTGGACAAACTGGTCTCCAACTCCTGACCGCAGGTGATCCATATGCGTTGGCCTCCCAAAGTGCTGGGATTACAGGGATGAGCCACCTTGCCCGGCCAGAATCACCTGCGGGTGCTTATAAAAATGCAAATTTACATTCAGTAGTTCTAGGGTGGAGCCTAAGAATTACAATTCTCACAAACTCCCAGTGATGCCAATGCCACTGGTCCATGGTCCACACCTGGGGAGCAAGGGTATTCAAAAGCTCAGCGAAGAATTTTGCTCCAAAATTAGAGACTTTGAGTTTGGGTTGAAATATTAATGCCAAAGTGTATATTCTTAAGCAGTTTCTCATTATTTTTTTCTCAAAACACTGTAACCTTCATACTTGTCAAAAATGTCTACCCAATAGTTGTGGGAGTACATAGAAAATTACCACCTCCTTCCATTCACATTTCAGATTACCAAGTCACACAGATGTGGCTAAACTAAAATTTAACATAATTTACATGCATCTTCTCAAAGGCCAACATCATTTTGAGATATCACCAGCAAAAACTCCCAAGATGATAACAAAATAAAAGAGAATAAAGTGAGTGTCCCCAAAAGACGGAGAAAACAGGGAAGAAGTAAGATCCTGGTAACAAAAGTATCACAATCCAGCCACACAAATCATGGGACTCAGATTTACCTTGAGAGCATTGGCCTTCACTTGGGGCACCGTGACCATCCTCTGCAGATGCGTCAGCACCATGTCCTCAGTGAGGTCATTCTCAGGCAGAAAATACTGATAGACATCATACTGCAACCTCCACCTGGAGTCTTGGTCTGTCCCAGCATCACATGATGGGGGATCTGTACCTCTAAAGTCAACCAACAAAATTAAACATCAATCTCTTGTGGTGCAAATCCCATCTATAAAAAGGAACCAAGAGCTCTAATTTCAAACACTTGCAAAAATAATTAAAATTTAAGAGTTCACCTTTTGCAGTGGCAATAATTGGTATTCTGAAGAAAAATAACACACTGTTATGGACTGAATGTTTGTGTCTCCCCAAAATTAATATGGTGAGACCCTCACTCCCAATGTGATGTATTAGGAGTTGGGGCCTTTGGGAGGTAATTAGGTCATGAAGGTGAAGCCCTCATGAATAGAATTACTGCCCTTATAAAGGAGATCCCAGAGAGCCCTCTAGCCTCCTCTCTGTCATGTGTGAACACAATGAGAACCCAGCAGTCTGTAACCAGGAAGAGAACCTTCACTGGAACTCAACTGTGCTGGCACCCTGACTGTGGACTTCTACCCTCTAGAACTGTGAGAAAGAAGTTTATAAGCCACCCAGTCTGTGCTACTTTGTTGCAGCACCACAAACTAAGACTAATACCAACAGGCAAGGGTAGTTCAATAACTGGATTCTGTATCAGTCAGGCCCAGAGTAATACTACAGCTTTGGGGAGAAAAAAAAATTTAAAAAAAAAGAAAAAAGCTGGGTGCAGTGGCTTATGGCTATACAGTAATCCCAGCACTTTGGGAGGCTGAGGCTGAAGGATTACTTGAGCTAAGATGTTCAAGACCAGCCAGGGTAACATAGGAAGACCTCAACTCTGATTTAAAAAATAGTAATAATAATATAGCAGCTGTGTCATTTGTTAGCAAGTCACTTAACCTCAATAACCGCTAGAGAACCTTTCTGTAAAATAACAGCAATAGCCTTTCTTCATAAAATTGTTAGGATTAAATGACAAAGAACATAACGACACTCAGCACCATGGACAATGCACGGGAAGCATTCAAGTGTTCTCAAATGTTAGCTATCATTACTATTAAAGCAGAAACTGAGGTACAACTTTAATTAAAACAATTAATCTTTATAAAAATATATGGATGTTTCAGGGCTACTGAGTGCTATCTATATTAAACTGCTTTATAAAAACCAGGATGTACTTCCAAGCTCATAACAGACTACATCTGACTCTTCAAATAAAAAGAGTTCACAAAAATGAAGTGGGGAAAATATTAACTGTAAATGACAGCCCAAATATTAATAATGAAGTTTAAATTACATCCATTTCCTCCCCCCTCTGCCCCAAAATTAAAGAATTCAATTTTACTACAGAGAACTAGGGACTTGAGAGAGCTGGTCAAATCTACACAACCGACATCATGTGTGTTCTAAAAGCATTTCTCAGAGATGGGGGGCAGACATACCTCGCATAACCTAGGTTTGCTGGTGCAAACTTGATAGTCGTTTCAAAGAAATTATACTCCAAGTAAATGTTGGGATCAATATCTAAATCAAACTCCAAATTACAGCCTCCAGGGATAGGATCTGGATGAGAAATAGGGAAGTTACTAAACAAACAATTCTTACATATCCAAATCATACTCAGAAAAACAGAACTCTACTCTTAGAAGAACTTCCCACATAGAAGTTAAATATAAACACAGAGCTTCTAGTCTTATACTATTTCATGAACTAAGATTAAAGAGGGTAAAGTTAACTAAGGTTCAGGTCCCTAGAGCAGGGCACAGCAAACATTTTCTGTAAAAGGCCTGATAGTATTTTAGGCTTTGTCAGTCTGATGGTCTCTGCAGTAACTACCCACCCGTCTTTGTGGCAAGAAAGCAGCCATGGGCAATACGTACAGGAAGAGGCATAGCTGTGTTTCAATAAAACTTTATGTACAAAAACAGGCAGCAAGTTGGTTCTGTAGTCTGGTCTGTAGTCCAGGCTCTTGATCTGTAGTCTGCCAAACTCTCCTCTAGAGTTAAAAAGATCAGCTATTGGTTGACTACTTCTGGCCAGGTTTGGAATGCAGATACACAGTGTGTATACATGTATCAATATCATGTTGGAATCTTCCTCCAAATTCCATGCTCTTCTTTCATACTCTCCTTCTTCTGCATTTATGGATCTTCACCACACCAGAGAAAATGGTATGTATGCCAGCTGAAGCTCCACTGTTCAGAATTTTTCTCTGTACACCGTCCTTGATGCGAGCCTTAATTAAGTCTATGGTTTCTTATCAGGTAAGTAGCCTTTTGTTGCAGATAACATTTCCTATAGTCTACTCCAGTAATCTTTTGGATTCTACCTCCTTTCCTAACTAGTGCTCCCTTCTCCTTCCCTTTACCCCCAAGCTTTAAGTGTAGTCTAAATTTCTTCACCTCACATTCACTTCTCTATCACTGTAATCTAGTTTTCATCCCTGTTGTGCCACTAAAGTGACTCTTATAAAGGGCACCACTGACTTCTACTTGCTCTAGCATATGGACACCTTCAGTCAGTTATCTTGACCTCTCTGTAGAGTATGACTTACTATTTCCTTCTTTTTTTTTTTTTTTTGAGATGGAATCTCCCTCTGTCACCCAAGCTGGAGTGAAGTGGTGCAATCTCAGCTCACTGCAACCTCTGTCCCCCAGGTTCAAGTGATTCTCCTGCCTCAGCCTCCCAAGTAGCTGGGATTATAGGCATCCACCACCATACATGGCTAATTTTTCTATTTTTAGTAGAAAAGGGGTTTTGCCACATTGGCCAAGCCAGTCTCCAACTCCCGATCTCAGGTGATCCGTTCACTTTGGCCTCCCAAAGCGCAAGGATTACAGGTGTGAGCCACTGGGTCTGGCCTGCTCCCTTTTTAAGGCAGAAGCTCCAGGCTCTCTTCCGACCTTCCAGACTACTCCCCAGTCTTGTGCTTATTCCTCAGCAGTTATCATTTGCCACTCATTGCCACAGCTTTAACAGCTATTTAGTTGAGAATCTAAAATCACCCCTCCACTCCAGGCCCTTATTTAAATTACCTACTGTGCATTTCCAACCAAATGTTCTACAAGCATCTCAGATTATGTCCCAAACTGAAGTCACCATCTACTGCATCCCACCTCCCAAAACATCCAGCAACACAACAACCCTGTTCCTATACCTATTTTGTATCACTATTTCCCTGCTGCCCAAATAGGAAACCTATGATTCCCTCTTATAATCCATAACCACCAGGCATTGTGTTGCATCAATTCTACCTTCTGGATATCTCAAACCCAGCTCCTCTCCTCCATCCTGCCTCTCATAGCCTCTGATCAGATTCTCATTTCTCACTTTGTGCTGGGTCCTGACTCTGCTATGCCCTCTCCAATCTATCCCCACACTGCTTCTAGAGGTGGCTTTCTAAGAGATGAAATGGACCACACCATTCCTCTGCTTAAAAACTCTATGCCTCCTCAGAACCTACCTTGAAATAAAACACAAACCTCAAATTGTATGCAAGGCCCTCCACACTCCAGCTGCTGCCACAGCCACAACGTGCCATTGTCCAAATCATTCTTCTTCATGACATGGAGCTTACTGCTTCTGCTTAGAATAACTAAACTGGTAAGGACTATGTCTTGCCTTACTATTACTGCTTCTCCAAGGGCTCCCTAAATGTTTTTTGAATGAATAAATGTATTCTCCTAGTCACTACCTGAGCTTTCGGTCATCGTGCTAATTCTCTGGCTTTTTACTATAAAATATTTCTGATTAAATAAATTATACTTGCAACAAACAATCTTAATAGAATAATTTTCCTTAAAGTTTCATGAACACATCCCATATTCCAAAGAGTAAGAGGGAGGAAAAGACAGAAGGGTTACCTCTTTCTGAGTAGGAGAGGAGGATAGCCATACTCTGGACAGGTTCTGTGTCTGAAATCTCCAAGTACCAAGTGCATGTACTCTGCTCTGGTTTAAGGATGAAAACCAGTCCACTGTCAGTGCCTGTTTTCGAGGCATTGGGAAGGAGAGTCTGCAGTCAAGAAGAAGCACCATCATGAATAGGAAGTCGAGCAAAATATATAAATTACCGAGTTGATCCAGTGCACATGTCCTATTCCAAATCTTCTCAAAACCAATAGAAAAAAAAAAAAAACCTTCCTTAAATAACCAGGAAATTTTTGCATCTCTATGTTCACATGCCCACACATACGCATGGAAAAATCATTCTTGAAAAATATGATTGTCTTAGTTAAGACTGCTATAACAAAATACCACAGGTTTAGGTGCTTATAAACAACAGAAATTTATTTTCACAGTTCTACAGGTTCAAGATTGAGGTGCCAACACAGTCGGGTTCTGATGAGGGCCTTCTTATAGAATGAAAACTCCCAACTTCTTGTTATATCCTCACATGGCAGAGGAAGGGCAAGAAATATCTCTGGGGTCCCTTTTATAAGACGACTAATCCCATTCATGAGGGTTCTAAATGGGGGTCCATGACCTAATCACTTCCCAAAGACGCCACTTTCTAATATAACACATTGTGGGTGAGGATTTCAACTGCGAAGGTTGTGAAGACACAAACATTCTGTCTGCAAAAATAATCTTTGATCAGGAATAGCAGATGCACAGTGAAATTCTCATGCTTCAATTAACTTGAATTAAGATTTACTATATCAGGTAATGTGTTGTCTTAGTGTCTGAGACCACTAAGACAAAAACATGAGCCCTGGCCCCAAGGAGTTCAGTTTTTGAAATATCTTTTATGTAAGTGTTATAACTGACATACTATAAACTGCTTTTAAGTATTGATATACATAGACACCTGTGAAACCATTACCACAATCAAAATAGTAAATGTATGCATCACCCCAAAAAGTTTCCTTGTACCCCTTCCTAATCCTTCCTCAAACACTTCCTCAATACCATCCCCCACTTCCATCTGCTTGGAAAGCTTTTTGAGTAATAAAATGCTAAGTTAAGAGGTAATAGATTCAAGAGATTCTCTCAAAGCTAAGGAAATGGGAAGGAAAAGGTAGCAGATCAGTTTCAATTTGATAATCACAAGAAAGAATGACTCAAATATTAATTGATAAATGATCGAGTCAACAGTTTCAAAGAGCTAACTGCTGTCATGACACAAAAAAACCCAAAAGTGCCACACTTTATCAGGAAAGGCACAGGAAACAGAAGTGCCACTTGCTTCCTAAGCCATGTGCAGTTCTGGTCATCGTCTTCTAAGTAATATAATAATGGGAACTAAAGGCAGTCCAAGAAATAAAATGATAATTAAGGACAACTAAGACCCTTTCTGCATAGAAATCAAGGCCCAAGATGCTGCCATCCAGGACTGTTTTGTCACTAGTGATGTTGGCAATTCTTTATCCAAGCTCTGCTTCCTCGGATGTAGAAACAGGCATCACTACTACTTTGTTGAGCTTTAGTGAGAATTAACTACATGGAAAACCAAACACAGGGGTTCCTAACTGGGGGCCTGAGGGTCTGAGCTTCTGAAAGGCCCCATGAAATTATATATTTATATTTGAGTCCACAGACTTGAGTAATCTATGACTCCAGGAGCTTAAGAACCACTGGCCTAGCACATAGTAGGCACTGTTCAAATATAAATGCTAATTTCCCCCATCCTCTCTGTTTTCCTTCAAATGTTGTCTTGCTATAATGTCATTAGGAAGAAAATCATACGGATTGTCAATTAAAAATTTTTTTTTAAATAGAGCTAGCTAAAAAAGAAGATTAAAGAACTCATCTATGTGCCATTTTACTAAGTCTCCTATGTAAGAGCCAGAATAGGAAATTGTCTTTTGAATTCAGTGCCATAAAAAACTTGGCCTCCCCTGAGGAATTGGCATACTCCTTCCTTTCTAAGGAAGTTATGAAATTTAACATGCTTTACCTTCTGCTCTAGCTGCAACAAACTTGGGCAAGTTCGACATATGACTGACATTGGTATCTCTTGCAATTAATACTATTTATTCCTTTCTCTTTTTCCTCAGCTGAACTCTTCCATTTCTAGTCTATTAAGTACACACCACTGCAACACTCATGCACACACGTGCACAACCATATGCACACAATTTCAACACCTCTATGGTAGGGGCAAAAGGCAGGAATAAAAAAAATACAAAATAGTTAGAAAGAGTGCCTAATGCCTATAATAATATATGTGGGCTGGAGCATAGCGGCTCATGCCTGTAATCCCAGCACTTTGGGACGCCCAGGCAGGAGGATCGCTTGAGGCCAGGAATTCAAGACCAGCCTGGGCAACCTAGCAAAATTCTGTATCTACAAAAAAAAAACATTAAAAACTAGCTGAGTGTGGTGACATGTGCCTGTAGTCCCAGGATCACTTAAGGCCAGGAGTTTGAGGCTACTGTGAACCATGATCACATCACTGCATTCCAGCCTAGGTGATGGAGCAAGATCCTATCTCTAAAAAAAATAAAAATAGGCCAAGTGCAGTGGCTCATGCCTGTAACTCCAGCACTTTGGGAGGCCGAGGTGGGCAGATCGCCTGAGGTCAGGAGTCCAAGACCAGCCTTGTCAACATGGTGAAACCCCATCTCTACCTAAAAAATACCAAAAATTAGGCGGGCATAGTGGCAGGCACCTGTAATCCCAGCTACTCAGGAGGCTGAGACAGGAGAATTGCTTGAACCCAGGAGGCGGAGATTGCAGTGAGCCGAGATCACGCCATTGCACTCCAGCCTGAGCAACAAGAGTGAAACTCTTCTCAAAATAAATAAATAAAATAAAAATTTTTTAAATTACATATGATTTGGATTAAGACAGATTTGTTTACCAAATTCCAGAATATTATAAGATAGGCTTAGTACAAATAAAAAGAAGTATAACTTCATGCAAGGTGAAATTCATGTATTGGTCTAAGGTATCATAGAGACTAAATATAAATAGATTTGTAAAATATTACATAAATGGCAGTTCTTCATAGCTTAAGCTAACCCAGGGAATTTAAAAAACTTTCTAAGGCTGAGGTTGAGGCTAAGAAGTTTAGTGATGACATCTATAATAGAGTCCTTAACACTGCTGGAGGCATAGCACAGGGCTGGATGAACTGAGCACTGTAATTTTTTTGTTGTTTGCAGGACAGAGTTCAAAGAATAAAGTTGATATTATAGGGTTCTTAGTAAAGTTCAATACTAAATAGCTAAACAACAGTGAAAACCCATTAAGACATGTATTCTCAGGTAAAAATTATTAAGGCCCCACTAAAGTAAGAAAATGAAAAGGTGGGAAATCATGAGGAAAACTTACCTGCATTGCAGTAACATTGGCACAGGGTCCCCTTTCTTCCAGCTCAGCTCTCTATTATCCCCTTTTTAAGTCAGAGACTGCCACACTCAAGAAAAGCCTGAGATACTCTTAATCACTAACTTGAAAAGATCTATCTTGATTTTTTTTTTTTAATTTAAGACACAGGTCATAAACATGAGATATCGAATTCTAAAACTCATACTAAATACCAGATCCCAAAATATAGAAATGATTTTTACTAAAATAATTATTTGTACTCACCGGAGAAAAGGAAACAGTTGTATTCTGATACTGTGAGTGTATTTGGAAAATAAGAAAAGTCACATTGTTTGAAATATCATGCAAAATAGCTTCCTCCGGAAAGGGCCTATTGAGCTCGAAGATTCTAAATTTCCCCACAGAAAATTCAATAAGACCTACAACGAGATAAAACTTTTCATTACAACACTTGTACTCTCATATCAATTTGCAGAAATCATATTCATAAACAAATGTGGAATTTAATCCTCAGAAAGCTCTTTGAGGTAAATACAGTTATTGCTCCTATTTCACTGCTAAAGACAATGTAGCTTAAAAAGTGAAGCAGCCCATCCAGGGTTATCTAGCCAGTAAATGGTAGAGCTCAGAACTAAAATGCAAGAGGTGCTTCAAAAGATACAAACAATTTTTAAGGTGCTGAAGACAGGCTCCCAGAGTCCAGAACTTCCCCTCTGGTAGCAGCAATAACAATAATCTTCTGAAGAGAGTAGCTGAATTTAAGGACGACAACCCTGTGCGGCTACTAACAATCATGGATGTGCTCGTGTTAAAGAACCACACTGTTTAGTGAATTCTGAAGTTGTATAGCCTGAAGAGACACGTGGCTGCAAGTTAATACCAGCATTTACCAGCTGTGTGATTTTAGGCAAGTTACTTAAATCCCCTTAAACCTCTATTTCCTCATCTGTCTAACTGAGATTCCAAAGGAAGGTATCATCAATACTGACAAAAATGTCTGTTGAGTGTCCACATCAGGCACTGCACATACGATTGTGAACCACAGGCATTCTGTAAAAGAGAGCTTTTAGTTTGCTTAAGGATCAAGCTCAGAGTCCATAAAAAAGATAGGTTACAACAAGAACAGTTTTTCAACACCTCCTCCAGGCCTGTCCCATCTGTCCATCTGCCTCCGTGGTCTGCGACTCACTGACTCTGTCCCCACTTCTCTGTGGTGTGTTTCTCCCCGCTGCATACCAGCTCTGTATTTTTCCAATCTAACTCTCAAATAATCCTTTAATTAGGTTGCTCATATCCTGCGTAGTCCTGGATTCCTACCTCACCACCCACCCTACAGTCAGTATATCTCTGCATGAACAGCAGAAGAGATCCCAAGCTTCACATAAGCAGTCTTAGAGATTCAATTCTAAAAACAAACAAAAGATTTGGATTAAATATAGATGAAAAGGAGTTGATGAAAAAAGATTACAATTCATCTGAGTCCCATAGTGGAACTGTCATGTTTTATTTTAGAAGAAAATTAGATTCACCCAAGTCCCATAGTGGAATTGTCATGTTTTATTTTAGAAGGAAATTAGAGTCAGTGATGGTAAAAGAAAACATTTCAGACACTAAAAAACTTAATAGCACATTCTTATGTACTGTGTCCCAAGAAGGTCAATTTTCTTCATTTTTATTAATTTATTTTTTTTTAATCTTCTGTCAGTCTCTGGCAAAAGGAGGTCAATTTTCAACACTTTTTTTTTTTTAATACAAATGCTCCACTGGATGATTTAAAACAAAAAAATCAGAACCAAAAAAATCAAGAATGAGCAGCCTGTGGAAGGACGGCCAAAAAGAACTAGAATAACGTTAACCTCTATATATTTTCCCTAAGCTCTGTGATGCTATATTACCTTCATAACTTAATGTTATTTGTTTAAAAAGATGATAGAACAAAAGATTATTTATGATTACAATTTCATTTCTAAAACTCTGGAGAAAATTTTAATAGTTGTAGCAATGACAAATGAAGATAGTATAATTCCTGTTTATGGCACCAGAAAGCCATTTTGCATTTTATATGGACCAAACTCTAGATGGAACAGAGGTTAAAATATTAAAGAGTGGCCAGTAGAATCTGGGTAGGGAAGTCTGGAAAGTGTGGGAAGTTTGTGTGTGTTTTCTTTTTAAAAGAAACCAAAAAAGCATGTTTATATTTTCCAGGCCTTCCCATCATCATGATTATTTCATTAGAAAAGCAAATTATACATAAAACTACATAGATTTCAGTAAACGACACTAAAAATGTTTCATGTATTGCCCTTCAATTTTGGTCCCATCCATCATGCATCCTCCAAGTCTTAAAAATTCCCACCTGTGTTGGCAGTATCAGTATGTTTTCCTACAAATTAATCAGATTTCTATCCTTTCACTGTTCACAGCACTCAGTTCACTTACTATCCTGCCTTTTCTCGTCTATATCTTCAGTTTTTCCCTTTTGTTCTCATTTTCCCTATTTGGCAAATATTTATGAGATACTTATGGACTAGTTGTTGGGCACCGTGACCAAAACTAATACAAACAAATTCATAAAGGTTATCCAGGACTTCTGTAATTATCACTTAAACTTGCCTTTGATATATTTTAGAACATGGTTTAATAATCCTTATGTCTATCTCCCATGACATGGGCCTTCCATCACAATGGTACACAGAACCTTTAAAAGCCCTGGAAGAGACTGAAACCATCAATTAGAGAAGGCTTCATGGTAAACTTCAAGGTAGTCTTCCCTTAACCTATCACCCAGGTTGAGGATAAATCACAGCTCAGATGTACTCGGAGAACCAAAACTTTAGCAAGAGAGTACAGAAACACAGAACCATCGAAACAGAAATACATTGTTAAACAACTGATGACTTCACAAAATAGGTAGAGGAGTATTAAAAGCAGGTATCCCTGGAAGTATATTTTAACTGGCTTTTTTCTTTTTCTTTTTTTGAGATGGATAGGGAAAATGTGGCACATATACACCATGGAATATTATGCAGCCATCAGAAACGATGAGTTTGGGTCCTTTGTAGGGACATGGATGAACCTGGAAACCATCATTCTCAGCAAACTGACAGAAGAGCTGAAGATCAAACACC